GGAGATTTTGCCCAGCGGATTCCCTCAAGGTCTCAGTTTCATTAAACTTGTCAAGGCTTCCACAGATGGTTTTGCCACCTAGTGAGACTTGTTTCAAAAAAAAAAAGTGAAATAGGGAAAAAATTAAATGGCAAATGAGAATGATAATAGTCCTCACAGGTGAAGTTGTCCATAGAGACAGGAGATAGGTGGCTTCATTTTGGTCAGCAGCTCACCTGGGCCAGTGGAATGTCTTTGTTTGGATAAAAAAGACCTTTCTGTACCTCAATATAGACAACCAGGGACAGAAGTGCACCATATGAGCAGAATGGCTTTTATAAGAGAACAGAGAGTCCTTAACATATTTGGTTCAGTTCCCCAGAAGAATGAAAGTGAGCAATTTTGAATGGAAATGATTGTCAAATGGGAACATAAACTATGAACATATTGGCAACAAAGGAAGTTCAGCAACAACACTCCTTCAGTTTCAGTTAAAGTGATTTACGCTAAGTTGATAAACCAGTTGGTTTAAATGGTCACAGGGCATTTTGTCTGTGACACCTCTCTTGACCTCAATGACTCCAGTCATAATTAGTCTAACTGCACATGTTCTAAACTCACACACATCTTGGATCAGGCTATAGAACTTAACACATGGAATATTCATTTGCTGTACATGTGTCTGTCTACCCAATAAAGTCTGAGCTTCTGTTCCTGGGGTTGAGCAAGGTGAACCACTTGGTCATGCCCTCTCCATATCTCATTTACAAATGAAAAGTGCAACACAGTGATATGGCACTGGACATGAAGGCAGAAATCCTGGATTTGAGCCTAGATCTATTTCTGCAGCTAACTGGAGGTGTGGGACAGAGATCAATGGATCTCAGATGCTTCTGTGTTCAGTGATCAACAGGTCTAAAATGTCACTGTGCAGGAGACTTAATTGGAAAAGTCATTTTACAAATTTAGATTCTTAGCTTAAGAGATCCCAATTTGAAAGTGTTAGAGTGGGGCATAGAGCTCTAATTGTAAGTATTCTAGGCTTGTTACACTGATTATAATTAATCAATATAGTTCTGGAAACTGGGACTTAAGTGATCTCTAAGGCTACTTCTAGTTCTAATATTTGAGTGTTCTAAGGATTCATAGACATCTGAATATAAATCTTACACTAACTTTTATGGTTTGTCAGTTCATGTGTGTGTGTGCGCTCATGTGTGTGCTCCCACATCATGAAAAAGTAGAACTCTTCCTTTACTTCATGCAAAGTTCAATCCACAAATTATAAGTAAATTTTAAATAATTGGTAGTGAGGATGAATTTGTTAACACCGAGTTTGACAGAGTAAGAGTAGAGGCTGAAGATAATAAGGCACTGATCTAGAACAACATCAGTAAGGAGGAAGAGGGAAGGAGATAATTGCATTAAGATTTACAGGGATTAATGAGCAATTTATGCAGATTAATGCCATGAGTAAATTGTGTGACTTATTCAGAAAAGTAAGCTTTCCTGAGTAAACCTCTACTTTTAAACTGAATGTCAAGTAAATGATAATATTTTCTAAGGTTTAGAATATTAAATGAAGACCAGATTTGAAAACAAACCAATAAATTGCAATAAAGACATTACCTTTGAAGTGCCTATCAGAAATCCACTTAGAGTAGCTCAATAAACTTAAATTGGATATATAAGTAATGGAAGGTTGAAAAGGCACAGAGATAACCACACAAAAGAGATATCACTTTTAAACATAGGAACAAAGGAGTAAAGGTACTCTTGGGGGCTACTGCTCAAAATTCTCTTACTTGTACGTAGCTAGAGCTTGAACCTATGAGGCGGGGACACAGTACCAGGTGCCCAGGTCTCTTAGTGGGGTACACCACATAAGTCATGCTTAAAATTTTAAGGGAGCAATGCTCAATGACTGATGTGCAGGCAAATGAGGCAGAGGCACTTGATAGCCAGTATTCAGACTTCTGAGGAGGAGACATGGTCCAACAGGTGCGTGGATAGACAAGGTGCATAGAAAAGCAGATTGTAGCTCAGCTGGTCCTCTTACAACCAAGGAGGTAGAGCTAAGATGCTGCTGGTCCTTTTCTAGCACACTTGTGGGGCTGCTGAAAAAGTGGAAAGAATATAAAGCCTGAAGCGTGGAGCCAACCATCTGGTGCCATTGGAATGCTGCTGACAAAAACAGCAAAGGAACAGATGCCTTCACTCCTCGTTTTGTTTTCCACTCTCCTGCTAATGCCTTTCATTAAAGGTGCTAACTGGCCAAGAAGTATGGCAAATGTAGTTTTCAGAGTCTCAGCACAGCACCACAGAGCAAAGAAGTCATAAAAGTAAAGCAGTAACACCATGTCATTAGTACATAAAGAGTGGGAACCAATGGAATGGAGGAGATTGTTTAGAGAGAACACGTTTAAGAAGAAGAGAATGAAACACAGGTGAAAGCAATCCCAGCCAAGAGAATATTAGCAAGAGTCAGCAAAGAAGACTGAGAATGTGTGGAGAAGACAAAGAGAAATGTCCAGCAGACAAACATTCTCACAGGCAGAAGAGAGAGAAATTAAGGTGCAGGAGATAGATCACCTTGTAAAATGTTTCAGAAAAGGCCTGAAAGATGAATACTGGCCATAGGTCACTGGAGTTAGCCCTGGTAATTTATTAAGAAAACAACTACTATTAAGTGACTAAGGAGGTACCTGGTAGCTTTACAAAGAGAAATTCCATTAGTATGATGACAGCTAAAATAATCTTCTTCTCCTTCACCTTTTCCTTCTCCTCCCCCTCCCTTCCCCCTCCCCTCCCCCTCCCCTCCCCCTCCCTCCTTCCTCCTCCGCTTCTTCTTCTTCTTCTTCTCCTTCCTCATCCTCCTCCTTCTCCTCCTCCTCTTCTTTTGAAACAGGGTCTCACTCTGTCATCCAGGCTGGAGTGCACTGGCTCACTGCAGTCTCAACTTCCAGGGCTCAACCCCCAAGCAATCGGGACTGCAGGTGTGAGCCACTACACCTGGCTATTTTTTTTTTTTTTTTTTTTTTTTTTTGAGACAGAGTCTTGCTCTTGTCACCCAGGCTGGAGTACAATGGCATGATCTTGGCTCACTGCAACCTCTGACTCCTGGGTTCAAGTGATTCTCTTACCTCAGGCTCCCGAGTAGCTGGGATTATAGATTATAGATGGGATGCCTGGCTAATTTTTATATTTTTAGTAGAGACAGGGTTTCACCACGTTGGCCAAGCTGGTCTCGAGCTCCTGATCTCATGATTTGCCTGCCTCAGTGCCACAAAGTGCTGGGATTACAGGCGTGAGCCACTGCACGCAGCCTAAATTTTTAAAACTTTTTGTAGAGATGGGGTCTCCCTCTGTTGTCCAGACTGGTCTTGAACTTCTGGGCTCAAGGATCCTCCTGTCTTGGCCTCCCAATGTGCTGAAATTGCAGGCATGAGCCTCGATGCCTGGCTTTAAGACATTTCTATAGGTTGAGAAGGAAATAGGGTGTGAAAACACTGGAGACAGGAAATGTATGCTGTATTTCCAGTCATTTGACATTGACAGAGAAAGAAGAGGAAAAAGAAAAAAAGAAGAAATGAGAAAGCCTAAACACACTTAGATTCTCAAAGGCAGTTAGTTTTATGTGAGACAATGGATAAGGAATTTCTAGGGAAAATGCAGAAACAGAAAAATCCTCTGATTGAAACAGATAACTTTACATAATTTCCTCCAGCATAGTTTTAAGAATAAGAAAATTAGCACCACGAAGACAAGTGGCAATACCAGAAGATCTTTCAAAAACACATTTTATTTCTTATTTTAAAACATTTTACACATTGTCTTATTCCAGATATTTTTTCTCTTTTATTTGCATCGCTATAGGAAGCCAGCTTAATTGAATAGAGAAGAAAATTTTCTGGAGCAGCGCAGAGGGATTTTGCTTCTTCTGTTCTGGGAGGGTGTGCTATAAGTCTTCTATGATGAAATAGTCTGTGATATATGCTTTCCTCTGCTAGAAAGCTGGGACTCCAAATTTTGGCAAATTAGGGAAAAGGCAAGCCTCGCTTTGCCATTGTTATCATTGTTATCATCTGAAAGGGCAGGGATTGCAGGATCACAACAGAGATTTTAGAAAGTGTCTTTTTTTTTTTCTTTCTATGTTTTTTTTTTTTTTTTCAGTTTGTTTCCATTTCTTCCTCCATTTAACTGTTCACCTGAACACGCTGAGAAACGTTCCATCTTTAGGATCGCCTTTTGTTGTTCTGTTACCCTCCAGGATGCTATTTTGTGGACATGCTAAGCAGACAAGTCCAGAAAGCCCAAAGTTGGAATATAAATGTGACTAAGTCAGTAACTGTATAATCTTCTTGAGTCTCACTCTCCTCATTTGTAATAAGGGCATTGAATTCGATGACCTTTGGGGAACTTACTGCTTCAGAAACCCATGATTTGATCATTGATCAAATGGCCAGAATGAAGATGTTGCTCCATCTACAGTCAACTTGAATTTTGATATGGGTGCATTTCATTCTAAAACTTGATGTTTTAGATCTAACAGGTAAATGAACAAGACTCTAAACAATTCCTACCTATAAAAGACAGAAAGGAGTACATGACAGTGATACTGCTGAAGCAGCCACAATTAGCATCTGGCAGGTATTCCCTTTACTGAGAGGTTCAATCTGCTCACATTATAGATATCAGAATCTTGGCACAGAGGGCCCAGTGTCCTACAACTGTTTAAAGCCAGAGCTATAACTTTAGAACTCAATTCACCTGAGTGCCAGTCCAACCATTCCATTCCATCTGTTTTATCTATTTATTCAATGGCTCACTTTTTTATAAAGTGAAAAAGATCATTAATAGGCCCTGTGTCAGGAACTGACAGTGCAGAGGTCAACAAGATATAGTGTCTGCCTGGAAGAAGTTCACAGCCTAGGAAGGGTATCTCCCTGTAGCATTGGAAGCTGGACTGACGTGGTTTCAGACAATTCAAACTTTGCAGATCAAAGAGAGACGGTGCAGAGAGATTTGTCCCACTGATATCGCAGCCAGAGAATCTTCACCTCTTTCATTCTTGCAGCTGGTGCTTAGTTTTTAATGTTTCTTTCTGCGTTTGCAGCAATATGGTGTTAATTCAGCTCTACAGCCCCCAATCTTTACTTCAAAGGTAAGACATTCAGCTTCACAGTGACCTTCCATTCTCTTACAAATTAGTGCTCTATGAATTGCTGTCCTGGCTAAGTAAAGAAAGCAATTTGTCTTTAGTTATCTATTAATTAGTAACTACAAGATAAAATTACATTGCCCAGGCCAAATTCAGACTTCCTCATTACCATAACTCCTAGAGACACAGACTATAAACCTAGAAATTAGAAAAATCAAATGTTATCTGAATAGTCATGTCTGAGCTCACACCCCTGGTACAATATAATCAATGTCCTTATTAAATAGCTAATTGGAAAAAAACAGAAAAGATTTTCATATGTCAAAATCATATCTAGCTTGTACAGAAACAGAATGTTTCTTCCAAGGAAGGTGACAAAATACTTTCTAATTCCGATGAACCATCCTTATCAACAGATTTTTTTTTCGTGTCTCCAAACAGTCTCTGATTTACAGCAAAAGTTAAAGATTGTTCTGTTACATTACAGGCAGACCAATAGTAGATCATATGCCCTGGCATATGGTTTTGGAGTCTCACAGTTTTAGGTAGAAAGGTAAACAACATGATGCTAGTCCTTCTCAATTTACTGTGCAAAGAACACCAATGGAATCATGTATTTAGTTCTGGCAAGCAAATTTAGAGGGACATAGGCAATGTGTATTCATTCATAACAGAGATTAGGTTGAAGAGAAAAAATATATGTCAAAACAGGAACTTTTTTAATTGGTAAGATACATTCTTAGGAAAAAGTAGTGGAAGAAGTAGCAGTTATTCTCAAAAGGAGTAATGTTTATTCCTGGAAATAACAACTTTGGGGAAAGAACAGTACATATTAGCTGCCATATATCTGAAATATTATCATGTGGAATGTATTTTGTTAGTGCCAAGTTAAGGCAAAGACTAATGGAAAGAAATTTCAGGGACTTAGATTTCTGCTCCAATTAAGGAGAAATGTTTAAATAGTCCAAAGTTGAACTTGGGATACTGTGAGCTACAGATCACTGAAATTTATTAGGCATCTGGACAATCAATTCACACACACACACACACACACACATACACACACATATATATATATAAAATCATGTATAGGGTGTTGAATACTGAATCATGGCAGAGAACAAAAAAATAAGCAGAACAAATGACAGTTAAACAATAGTAAACTCTAACATAACATAGAGTATGTGCCTGCCACTGCCCAAGCAGTTATATAGAAAGATTGTTAAACTGTCCCAAAGCAGTTATTTTTACCTTCAGACTTTTAGTCATAGAACCTCTGGGTTTCTCTGGACACATGAATATTTAGCTAATCACATCAGCTCCTAGCTTCCTATTTCTATATGTCCACATAAACAAATCTGGAAAAATGAAAAAGGAGTGGAATAATGTGAACTGCCTCTATGTAATCTTAATCATGTTCTATACTTTCTAACCCTGCCTGTTAGAACATCCTTGGAATCAAATAAAAGGGTCAACTGTTTAGGATGGCAGGGTTGACCTTCAGCCCAAATCACAACAAAGCTCGGTGAAAGAGAACCCTCTACCCTCACCTAGCCAACTTAGCTATTTTTGGACTTTTACATGGAAGAGAAATAAGGTTTTGTCTTTCTTCAGTCACTCTATTATTAAGATTCTTGATTATAACAAGTTAGTTTCTAATTAACATAACAAGTTTATTCATCTTCAAAACAATGCTATTATTATCATTTAGAGAATGGAAAGTAAAACAGAGGGTACATTAGACTCATGCAGTTCGGCCTAACAGCCTATGTTTATTGCCTTTTACGTAGATCATTAAATTCACTTCTAACTCTGAGGTTCTATCTGATTATGGTGATGGTAGTGGTTCTAATTTGTGCCCAAACCATGCTTATTATTGTAATTCAAATACATCTGAGATGAGTTTTGTGGACAGGGAGCTATTATGCCTCCACATCTATACACTGATCTGAATAAATTGGAGTACTGATTAAAGTGGGTGGGGAAGACACTTTAAAAGGAGTTTATCTATCCCGGAGCATTGTCTGACATCTATGAGAAGATGCTGAGGGCAGAAAATAGGGAACTGATTCTCAGAGACTTTCATGGAGTCACTGAAACTTTCGTGGGGTCAAGGAGGTCGCTGAAATAATGGAGTCACTGAAACTTTCATGGGGAAATTGTTCTTTGGCTCTGTTCTTTAGTTCTAGTCTTGTCTACTTCAGAAGTACAGTACTACCAGGAAACCTTTCTGTATTTCCTAGTTAGAACCAAGTTTCCACATCTATGGCTTCTCTTTATACTTTGCATCTTTTACGGCACTTGCGAAAACTGTTTCATATTAAAGTTATTTGTGTATTTTCCTGTCTCATTGATATACTTACTCATACATGTTAAATGTATTGAAAGCTTATTTACCACTACAGGCAATGTCTTTTTGAACACAGAAAGAATAGACTAATAACTTCAAGCAAATTAAGGTCAATGTCCATGCTTTAATTATATTTTTACCTTTTTATTTTACCTACCTTTATCGTAGTGGACAGAACAATTTCTTACAAGTGGTTAGCACACATTCAATATCTATTGGTTTTCTAGGACTACTGAGGACAGAATGTATAATAAAGAAATGTAGAAATTCAGGAGCCATGAAGGAGCAGACAGAGGGCTTCGTGATGCATGGAGAACCTCTAATAGGAAGAGCTTCACCACCGAAGGAACGAAGGATAGTTGAGGAGGTATGGACGTAAACATTTCTTAGGAACACAGTCGTGGTTGTATCAAGCAAAGAGAATCTCAAAGATGCAAAGACTTAAGAGATTAGTAAGCAAGATGTTAGTTTAGTGCTTTTAATAGTGTAATTTTCAACCAGTGTGTGAAAGCCAAAATGTCTAAAATAATTTATGGATAAGATATTTGGACCAACAACTCAGACCTGAAAAAAAATTAGCTGTCTGAGGATCTAGTAACACAACTTCAGTTTAATTTAGACTACAAAGGCTGTACTTCCCTAACTTAACAAATATGTTTGGCATTTGCCTTGGAGATTTTGTTTTTTTTTTTTAATTCACTTTGGAATATGCTGAACCTGGCCCGGCGCCTGGCTCATGCCTGTAATCCCAGGGCTCTGGGAGGCAGAGGAGAGGCAGATCGTGAGGTCAGGAGATCGAGACCATCCTGGCTAACATGGTGAAACCCCGTCTCTACTAAAAATAAAAAAAAAATTAGCCGGGCGTGGTGGCGGGTGCGTGTAGTCCCAGCTACTCGGGAGGCTGAGGCAGGAGAATGGCGTGAACCCGGGAGGCGGAGCTTGCAGTGAGCCGAGATCGCGCCACTGCACTTCCAGCCTGGGCGACAGAGCGAGACTCCATCTCAGAAAAAAAAAAATAGTGCTGAAGCTGCGTTGCAGATTATAAAAGGAAGAAAGAGATCTAAAAGTACAAAGAAGTCTGAATTCCTTGGCAGAGCTGTTAGGGAAGTTGACTAGATACTATTAAGGTTGGAGCGTCCCGGTCAATGTGCTCCCATTGTTTTGTGTCTGAGCTCAGGAAAAGATTTTCAGTGACTGGTTTGCCTTGGAACCTTCAACTTTGTAAAAGTTGAGCTTTCTTCTCAAAAGACAGATCCTGAGCAGACTGTCATCTCTACCTCTAAAAGAATTTCCCTCTTACCTTGGAAAATTTGAGCAAGAAGAATGAGTGCAGCAAAAATAAAGAAAAATATTTTCATGGCTCCAGGCATCAGGGGAGAGCTGATGAAGGAAATGCAGTAGCTGGAATCAAGCTCTTTTATCAAGGGGCATTGATTAAAATATGTTCTACTGCCCTGAAGGGGCTGGAAGTCGACTTTGGTTTGTAATGTTCATTGGGAACATACTATTTTCCATGCTCCACTGATTAATGCGTGGGCTGATGGATCAGATTTTATCTAAATCACATTTATGGGAGAGAAATGCAGAGAACCCTGCCTTTCTGCCTGGAATATTCTATTCTGTGTCTTTGTTAAGACTTCTCTCATTTTTCCTTCAAGTGTTATCTCAAGTATTACCATGTCAATAAGATACATAGCCACCAGCCTTTTCCTAGTACATGATTTTACATAAAACCTATTCTTAAAAAAAATTAAAACAAACAAACAAAAACCTTTAATTTTAAGTTCAGGAGTACATGGGCAGGTTTTTGTTTTGTTTTTGTTTTGTTATTTTTTGTTTTGACGCTCTATTGCGTGGAGTCTGTTGCTTAAGGAGAAAAGGGTTAATCCATCCAAAATACATAAAAACCATTAATATGTTTTTATATTATTTGATTTAATTAAAGGGAGAAATAGACATTTCTATATTTATAGCAGAACATTTTTACACCAGTCTGTCAGCAACTGATAGAACACAGGGAAAAATTAGCAAAGTCAAACATGATCTGAACAATACCACCATTCCATCGACTAAATTGATATTTATAGAACACGTCATAAGATAACTGAAAAATACACATTTTTTCAAGTACATATGATACATTCATACAAATAAACCATATGCTAGGCCATAAAACAAATATTGATGTGTTTAAAAACATTTAAATTCTTCAGAATATATTTCTCGCCACAAGGTGATTAAATTGGAAATCTATAAAATAAGCTATTTAGGATATTTCCAAATATGTGGAAATAAAGCACATATTCGGAAATTCTAGATTGTGTATGCATCAAAGAATAAATAATGAGAATAATTGGAAAGCATTTCTATATATCAAATTTTGTGGAACACAACAAAACAATGACTTTGAAAGAAATTTGTATCCAAATACTTATCGTAGAAAAGAAGAAATGTTTAAATCTATGACTTAAAATTTTGCTCTAAGAACGTTAGAAAAGGGAACAATGTAAGCCCAATTATACACAATAAATGAAAAAGAAGTTGTCACTACAGATCCAAGAAACATTAAAATAATATAAAAAATTTGTCAACATGTATATGCCAAAACATTTCACAACTTGCATAAAATGGAAAAATCCTCTCAAAAATTTAACTTACCAAAATTGACACAAGAATTAGCAGAAAATATAAGTATTTCTATATCTCTTAAAGAAATTAAATGTTATTAAATGAAGAATGGCTTCTGCTTAAGATGTAGAAATATGTAAAGAAAATCATCCCACACAAAACAAATACACAGAAAAACACATGACAAACTGCAAATATGCAGTTTCTTGAACTCATCGGAAAGCTAAGGTCACAAGTCAGCCACCTACCTACAAGTATAAGAAAAGACAGGAACCTCCAAAAAATGAAGAACATGAGAGCTTGCTCACTGAAGTGGATTACCCCCAGAATATGATTTAAAAGATTTCAAGTAAAGTCTCTAAAGAATTGCTAAGAGCAACTATAAACTAGAGAAACAATATAAACTTCTGGAGTCACAGACAAAAGAGAAATTCACACCAACGTCTAATGTCTTCTCCATAGACTCAGCGGGTGCTTACAAAAAAGATCAGAGTATTTCATGAAGTAAGCTGGGTGAGGGGAAGAGTAGCCACTGTGAGAAAGAACGAAAGCTTGCAAGAATCTTTCTCTTATATGGAAAAGAAAGTCTTAATTTCTTAATTAAGAAACTGGAGGAAGAACAACACTTGTTTGTACAGCACTGGTGAAATAAGCAATCTAAAAAATGCAAAACAAAATATTAAAGCTAGGAGAACTAGGAGAAGGGAGCACATTAAAAAACAAAAACAAAAAACATCCTCTACTTTGTCAACAGAGAAGGCATATATGCCTCCTGCCGGTAGAAAGATGACAGAATAACTGCAGCAAACTTCTCATCAAAAAGTATGCAAGCCAGGCCAGATGTGGTGATTCACGCCTGTAATCCCAGCACTTTGGGAGGCCAAGGTGGGCAGATCACTTGAGCCAGGAGTTTGGTTTGTGACTAGCCTGGGCAACATAATGAGACCCCATCTCTACAAAACATACAAAACATCTCTACAAAACATACAAAAATTAACTGGACATGGTGGCAGGCACCTGTGATCTGTCACCTCAGGAGGCTGAGGTGGGAGGATCATTTGAGCTCCGGAGGCAGAGAATGCAGTGAGCGGAGATCATGCCACTGCACTGAGCGTCAGAGTGAGACCCTGTCTGAAAAAAAAAAATCGAGGCAGAAGAAAATGGAATAATATCTTTACAATGTACCAGTGAAGTCATTTGGTCCTGGGTTTTACTATGTGGGAGTTTTGTTAGTGTTATTATTATCAGTTCATGCACTTTATTTGTTATTGGTCCATTTTAGACTTTCTATATCTTCTTGAATTAGGTTTGATATGTATGCATTTCTAGGCATTTATTCATCTAGGTTATCAAAATTGTTGCCATACAATTGTTTACAGTATTGCTTTATAATACTTTTAAAAAAATTTTCCTAAGATCATTTGTAAAACTTCTCTTTCACTCATGATTTTGGTAATATGAGTATTCTCTTTTTTTCTTAGTCAGTCTAGTTAGAGGCTTGTCAATTTTGTTGATCATTTCAAAAAATAAATTTTTGTTTTGTTGATTTGTTCTATTGTTTTCTTAGTTTCTATGTCATTTATTTCCACTCTAATATTTATTATTTTCTTCCTTCTGCTTGCTTTGGGTTTAGTTGGCTCTTCCTTAATTTTCTTGAGATGGAAGATAATTTATTGATTTAAAATCTATCTTCTTTATAAATATAGGCATTTGCAACTATAAATTTTCCTTTAAGCATTGTTTTAGCTGTATCTCACAGTTTTGGTAAGTTGTTGTTGTGTTGTGTATTTTAAAGTGTTTTGGGGATTCCCTTTAAAATATTTTCTATGTTCCCTTATGTTTTCTGCTTTGACCCATCATTTATTTACACTTGTGTTGTTTAATTTCCACGTAGTTGTGACTTTCCCAAATTTCTTTCTATTATCCCATTGTGTTCAGAGAACATACTTTGTATGATTCCTATCCTTTTAAATGTATTGAGGGAGCTTGTTTTTAAATCTAACATACAGTCTATTCTAAAGAATATTTCATGTGAACAGAAGAAGAATGTGTATTTTGCTGTAATTGGTGCAGTGTTCCACAGATGACTTTGAGGTCTAATTGTTTCACAGTGCTGCTCAAATCTTATATTTCCTTGCTAATCTTTTTTCTAGTTGTTTTGTCTATCATTAAAAGTGGTATATTAAAGTCTACTGCTATTACTGTTGAATTCTCTATTTCTCTCTTCAATTCTGTCCGTTTTCCCTTCATGTATTTTGGCACTCTGTTGTTAGGGGCATGTGTTTATACTTGTTATATTATCTTGATGGGTTAACTCACTAACATTATAAAATGCCCTTCTTCGTCTTTAGTACCAATTGTGTCTTAAAGTTTGTTTTGTGCACTATTAGTATAGCCACTACAGCTCTCTTTTGGTTATTGTTTGTATGGCAAATCTCTTTCCATCCTTTTACTTTCAGCTTCTTTGTTTCCGTGAATCTAAAGTGTAAAGAAAAAGTGTTCCCGGACCAAACTGAGGGTCGGGCTGCTATTTCTCACGGCCCAATAACGAGATGCAAATAAACTGGGGAGGAAGAGAACTTTTTTATTTCTGCAACCAGTTACAGGGAGAAGGCCTGGAAATTATCACCAGACCAACTTAAAATTACAAAGTTTTCCAGAGCTTATATATCTTCTAAACTATATGTCTATATGTAAGTGTGCATTCAACTAAAGACCTAAGTTATTAACTTCTTTTAATCTATACCTAAGGTCTGAGTCCTGAACACCTTCCTCTAGAGCCTCAGTAAATGTACTTAATCAAAATGGGTCCAGGTGCTGGGGTTATTACCCTTATATTGTCTCCTGCTAAATCACTGATGTTTAGGGCGTTCCTTCAGACCTCCCACAAACTTGTTTAATCCTAAACGAGTCCTATTAAGAACTCCTTCATTATTTTGTCATGCTTTAAGGCCCAGGAAAGGCCTAAGCAAAACTCTTGGTGGGATTTTGTTACATTCCAGCCTTTATATGAGGGCACTGGCTTTTTAAGCTTTTAATATTTAACTTAACCACTTAGTGAGTACTAAAACAGTTGTTATGGAGGCTTGGATTAGTAGACCTGGCCTGCCACAAAAGGGGATCATTTGTGACTAGGTGAGCACCTGTGGGAAGTGTCCTCTGCAGCTGCCATCTGGATGCTACATGAGGTCATTATCAGGGCACAGCTACTGGTCTACCACGTTGTATGACTTTGAGACACTCACATGAATCTTTCATTAGAAGAAACTTCAACTAGGTTCCAGAGCATTTTTTTAAGATAAAGCAATGCAGTATTTGGAATGAGTAAGTAGTATTCCAGTTTCATGGTGTTCTGTAAGCTAGCAGCTGCATTTGCACTGTGGAGACCTGAGGAAGAGGAGCATCTGCGAGCAGATAATTACTGTGAACTGGACTCTTAAGACCAAATACCCTACTTCCCACTTCCCTGGGGTAATTCTTGTATAAATGTAGGAAACACTCTAGGCTTCTGGAGGGCTGTGTTTCAAATCTCTTTTGGAGAACAGTGGATCATATGTAAATAGAATGAATCTAAAAATTGAATCAATCAAGCATTAAAAGGTTTCCCCCAATGGATAGTTCCAAAGAAAGAATTTAATACGTACAGATAAAGTGTTGGAAAAGATGACAATGCAAAGTGGGAGCAATGAGGCAAACTTACTGATAGTCACAGCTGAAATCTCCCACTGCCCTAAGGTTTGAGGAAAAACGGAAGGATTTGTGTGAGCCTGGGAGCGGCACTAGCTGGCAGAAGCTAAACTTGCGGTGGGACTGCCAAGTGAGAGCAGAAGACAGAAAAGCAGGTGCTTTGCTGAGCGGGAAGAGCCACTGCTGGAGAAGAGAGGGAGTCGGGGAGAGATACACACTGCCCTCCCTTCTTCAGTCTCCCATTCTCCTAGGAGACACTTACATTGACCAAAACCAGCCAGAAGTCAGGAAGCCTAGAAAATGTAGTTTGCATTTAATAGTTCCCATTTTACTCAGCAAAGCAGAAAAAAACAAGGAACAGATTTGAGCACAAAGAGACAAACAATAGGCCCAAATGTTAAACAAAACATTGTTTAGTCTCATACGTTAAAACTAAGTAACCAAGTTCAAGTCACTGGTCATAGGGCTGGTAATTTTGACCTTTATTTTGTGAAGCTGGATTTTATTTCACAAGGCAAAAGTTATATAGTCAACCATTTATGTACATTCTGTGTTGAACATTTTAAGTTAATCTCTAATCATTTTCTTTCACAGGTAAATACACCATAAGTACTAGAATCAATGAACGACAGTATTTAGGCAAACCAAGAAACAATGTGAATATAAAAATAATGTATTTGATAGAGTTATTAGTCCATTAACATAGTTAGTACATACAGATGGATACACAGAACATGACAGCAATGTGCACACCAGTTACTGGATCCTAGCTGTGGCTCTGAAGAACTGACAGCCTCTTGAGCCTCAATATTTTCAAATATAAATAGGAGTAATAAAACCTACCTCGTAAGGTAATCATGAGTCATATGAGAGAAGTATGGAAAATATTTCATAAATTATAAGGTACTCTACAAATACATAGTAGTGGTATCTGACTGAGCAGATACTAGGTACATGTTTTTTTTAAAGGTCATCTCGCCCAGCGTGGTGGCTTATGCCTATAATCCCAGCACTTTGGGAGGCCAAGGCGGGCAGATGACCTAAGGTCAGGAGATCGAGACCAGCCTTGCCAACATGGTGAAACCCCGTCTCTAGTAAAAATAGAAAAATTACCAGGGCATGGCAGCATAAGCCTGTAGTCCCAGCTACTTGGGAGGTTGAAGCAGGAGAATCGCTTGAACCCGGGAGGTAGAGGTTGCAGTGAGCCAAGATCGAGCCACTGCACTCCAGCCTGGGTGACAGAGTGAGACTCCAACTCAAAAAAAAAAAAAAAAAAAAAAAAAGTCGTCTTTTAAAAATAATAAAATAAAAATAAAGAGAGAAAGAAATGAGACTTATTCTGAGACTCACTCACTGTGTGATTTGGATAAACCACATAATTTCTCTTGAACTTCTTTGAATATCCAGGCCTGCTTCTACGGCCATAAGTGTGCTGGTCTGGTTTGTCACATCTTCTGTCTGCAGCAGAGAAAGTTCAGCCTGCATCTTCCATCGGGTTTCTCATTCTCCAAGCACTCCTTCCTGCATCTTCCCCGACCGAGCTTGCACGACTCACAGACAGCAAACCCCCCTGTGCCAAGAAACAGCTGCTGAGGGGACTTTCCAGGAAATGTCTAGAAATGGAGAACATGTGAAACACCACCAAAAAAAGGGAGAGTTCGTATGTATGATTACAAGGAATATTTTCAAGAATGAGCCCAGAGTTTTCAAAAAGAGTTCCTACCTTTTGCAGTAGGGAGTTGGGGAGAGTTAATTTTTAAGCAACAGATCATCACAATTCCTACTCTCCAAGTGTTTATAATCTTGGAGGGATCAAAAGTAAACCACAGGCAGACAAAGAGACACACATATTACAGAACTATAAAAATACATACCTGATATGACTGTGAAGTTTGCTAGACAAAAATGGGAGGGGTATATTGTGGTTTTGAAAAGATCCTTGAAGATGAAGTTAAGAAACTTAGGTTCAACTCTTGTTTGGGCCTAGTAATCGCCAGGTTCTTAAGGTCCACATTCTCATTTGTCCAGTGGCCATTCTAGAAGCACCTGACTACATTTTTAAATCAGTTTAGGGATCAAATGGAATATTATATGCAAATATTTTTGTTATAATAATACCTACCACATAGGAGTGTTTTGAGGATTACATAACAAACTCCGTGAAAAGTTTTTAACAGGATGCCTAGTACAGAGCAAACACTCAAGTACTAGTAGCAACCTTAATATTTCTCACTTTGAAATTCTGTCTAAAACCTTTTCAACTTTGTCTACAATATTTCTTTTAGTTTTGTTTACAATGTGCTTTCTTTCTGTGTAAGACGACTTCAAAGAAAAAGAAAAGATCTGGGGGCTATTGGTTATGAATAGCTTTTCTGCAATGGTGCTGAGTTTTCATTGAAGCAACCTCACTCTTTAATTTGAGCTTCCGTCAACTAACCTCATACATTTGTGACATATATTATTACCAGACTTAGAAGCAGAGCTTGCAAGAGATGGGCAGGCATGTTCACAGAGCAGTGCTAATTGGCTGGTACAAGACTAAATCTAAGAACTTGGTTTAGTGAACACCAACAGCTAGTGGGAAAAACCACTGAGTCCAAATCTCTATGGCCAAATTACAGTCCAGTCACAAAGATATTTTTCTACGAAATCAAAAATATCCAAATAGTATCCTTGGAACAAGAAAAAGAGAAGAAGACAAGTTAGTGAACTGGTTTTTCAGACAATTCTGTTTCCACCACTATCTCTGTCCCCTCTTTGTCTCCAGACATCAGAGAGAGCCAACAGAGCCAGAGTTCCTAAAAGAAAAAATAATTATATAGAAGATCTTTAACTTACCTGATGGAAATGGTTCGGAAAACTCAAGTCCTGCCTGGCACCCTAAATTCAAAACAAAATACATTTTGAAAATTAAAATCAACACAGGAATTAACACTGTATAAAACATTTCCAACTCCACGTGTGACATGGTATATCAGGAGACAGTAGATCACAGAGTTGCAATCTTTATTCTATTTCCCAAGACCAGCATTCCAGGTAACCAGCAAAAACAAATTACAAAAAATATATACTATATGCAGTTTGCTCTTAGAAAATGTCACTGTAGGTCTAAGAAATTCCCATGACAGGCACCATGAGAGCTTGACCATTAAGGTCAAACATCGAAGAATCATCAGGCTTTATAATCTGCCCAATCAAAATCCCATCCATTTTTATTTACCTGATGGCTGTTGAACCAAAATGAAGAACACGGCAAATACAAAATAAAATGTCTTCCTGATCAGGGCCATCTTTTAGGGAAGACTCTTCAGAATAGAGATTGGGATTTCCTTGAGAAGACCCAAATGAGAGGCTCATTTTTATTTAAAAGTAATGGGGAGATGCTTTTGATCAGTGAAGCGAATCAATAAAAGCACAATTATATGCTCCATTTCCCAGGATCAAGGGATGATATCATGGATAACAACGCTTGGCATCCAGAAAGCCTCTTATTTTGGGGAGTCTAACTGGTGTAGTGGAAAGAACACCAGGCTAGAAGTTGAAAGAGCAGGGGCCATGCTAGTTTCTGCCATACTAATGCAGGGGCCGGAAGCTAGTGACTCCTTTCGTCTCTTCCAGCTTGTGTTTTCTGGGAGAAGATAAGAACCCACTCGCAAACTCTGCTTGCCTCTCAAGGTTTTGTAAGAATCTAGTATGGTTATAACGCAGAAGTGTTTTGAACATGTGGAATGCTTAGAAGGAGGCCTGGTACCATGTAAGAACTCAGTAAATGTGAACTCTCACTTTTCTAGCTTTCATTTTTATGGTCTACAAGTATCACAGGGAGAAAAGGAGGGGTAGCAATCATTTTGTCCAGTTAGTTCTGAGTCCCCTTTCCTGTAAGATACCACTTCACACACCAAAGCCATAATTACTGCATATTTTAAATTCATTAAGGAAATGGGTATTGGCCCAGATGTGTGGCTTATGTCTATTATCATAGCTTTTGGGGAAGCTAAGGCAGCTGGATTGCTTGAGACCAGGAGTTCTGAGACCAGCCAGAGCAACACAGTGAGACCTTGTCTCCACAAAAATAAATAAATAAATAAATAAATGTTTTTAATTTGCTAGGCACAGTGGTATGTACCTGGAGTCACAGCTACTTGGGAGGCTGATGTGGGAGGATCACCTGAGCCAGCAGTTTAAGGCTGCAGTGAGCCATAAGCATGCCACTGAACTCCAGCCTGGGCAACGGAGTGAGATCCTGTTTCAAAACAACAACAACAACAACAACAAACACCAAAAAAACACACAAAAAAAGTGGAATGAAAAGCAAGATTTACACCATCTTCCCCTCAAATAAGTTCTGCTTATTCCTACCCTGTTGTCTATATTTACGTGATGTTCTGTTCTTCATTTCTGTAATGTAAAGTAGAAAAATTTTTAAATATAGACTACAAAGTATACGACTTACAAAGTATATGACCTTGGATAGGTTGCTTAATTTGATGAACCTCAAGTTTCCTAACCCTTAAAATGAATATATAATTATGGTACTTAGTCACAGAGCATTTAAGAGGCTTGCTGAGATAAGGTATATAAAGTACTTAGCAGAGTTCCTGGCTACTATCACTAGTACTACCTCCACATTTCTCTCTATTCAGCCTTGAACCTAAGTTTTCTGTAAACACTTTTTCAAGTTCATTAATTCACCATGAACCTTTTCTGATCTATGCAGGAAGGCACTCATTTTTATGTTGCTGCTGTGACTTGCAAACAATTCAGATTCAGAATCCAAGCTAATGCCTGTATACATAGGGGATAGGGCCGAGTCTCCGGGCTTTCAGCTTTTAGGCATTTTGTATAGCCTGCATCAGGACCAACCTCCTAGGTAAATGCCCAGTGCAGTCACAGCTCTCTGCCTTAACTTGGGGTTTAATGCTCTGCAGTCACTGTTTTGAAAGTCTTAATAACTTTACCTTTGAATATATGCATTGTAAATAAGTCTGATGGGACAGTGGAGCATGCTCTGGGACTTTGGAAGCATGGCTTATGTGCACTCCAGACTACCTTTCCCTTTTCACCTTCCTGGGAGTATTCTTAGCCACTCGTCCCTCACTTTTGGCACCTGGGCCCCACCTGGCCTCCCCCTTACTATCCTCTTCCAGCAACCATCCACCCCACAGTGGCCTGGCTGTGAATATGCAAAGGACTGGAGTTGAGTGTCTAAGCCCTGAGTGTCTAGGGCAAGGCATGATGGTTACCAGTCCCTTGCTGTGCCAACGGTGCCATGATACAGGTGGGCAGCATGGCAGGACCCAGCACAAAAAGCGTGCAGCATATAGCAAGATTCACATTTTTTAACAAATATATGCTTAGGTCAAGCCCTTTCCCAAGTTTGCAAAGCTCAAAAAGACTGAATCTGGAATTCAGATTCCACCTCACTACGGTTCATCAGCTCTTAACTGAAGCATTGAGATATTGTATAACTACTCTCATTTTACATATGAGTAAACCAAAAGCTGTTCAGAAGCACAGCCAGGATTAGAAATCAAACTGCTGGACTCCAGATTTTTTTACTTTTTCTGTGTCTGCCTTACTCTGTCCTCCCTTCATCCCCACTTTCCTTCTTGAAAACTTTCCAGAATCAGAAAAAAATGATGAGCTGTAGACTGAGTGACACCCACTGAGACTGGCTGGGCTCTGCGCAGCAGAGCGTGGAAATCCTCTCGTTTCTGATAAGCCTCACTGATCAAGATGTTACTTGGTCTGGAGAAATGTATAAATGCGGATGTTTGCTGCTCTTTCCTCATGGACACGGCGCTGATCTCTCAAGACACTCCCAGTCATGAGGACTTTCCTCTTTCTCTTTGTTGTGCTCTTCTTTCTGACCCCAGGTAAAATGGGCATCTTTACAGGGAAGGTGATCGGAGGCGGTGTCCCAGAGAGAGGGTCCCCTTCAGTGAACCCCTGGGTGTGATCAACCCATCTACTACAAGAGGTGATATCCCCCAACGCCTCTTCTGTAATTCCTTTGCATTTTACATTCTTATCTAGGAGGGGCTGTCACAGGTTTGAAAGAGTAAAGGAAGGCCAGGAAACATGTCTTTTGGCATCCAGTCTCATGCTCACTAACAAAAACAAAAATTGAAAAAAAATAAAAAACAAGGATAGCAGTCTATGAACCTTTTAAAACATAGTTATGGTAGAGATTGAGACAGGTAAGGAGGAGAGAGAGGTAAGGATCTGAGCTTAGAGACACCTATGCATGCATGCCAGTCATGGCAACAGGTAAAGCAGCATAACTTGGACTGCCATTTCTTAATCACATATCATCAAGCCACGTACTGTGATGAGAGTTTCACATAAAATGCATCTAGTCTTCCAATGCCAGTGCCTTTAAGAAAAACTCTATCCTACCTCTAATTTAATGGCAGTTAGAGAAAATCCTCTTGGGTTTGAAGGTCCATTTTACAAATTTTATTACAGATGCAGAAATTGTGCCTCAGATGGGCTGCTTCTCAGAGTCATATAGATAACCAAAATGAAGACAGGGCAGGAGCCCAACTGTCTTGCCACAGTAAGAGGCATTAAAGACACCCTTCCCATATCAAAACTCTCTTCACTTTCTCCTGCTCCTGGAATCTCCGATGGCTCCAATTGTATCCTCTCCAAAATGAAGGCGTAAGACTAGGCTCATGTGAGCCTCCAGAGACCTAAAGAAAGGGATTCTCAGAGCCCACAGTAAGTCCCAATTTGTGCCAGATGCCAGTGATATACGATCCCATGTGTAATGCTCAACTTTTCACATCAGCTGCTCATAGCTCTGGTCTGTTTTGTGACAAGCCTGTGAGAGGAGATTCTGTGTCAGGACAAGAGGATATAGGACCCACAGTGACCTATGCTGTATTCAGGCCACTGGCTTTGATGTGCACGTTGGAAACTGGCCAGAGGTATCTCTTTCAGATCACTCATACTTATTATATAATTAGTCAAAAATAGATGTTTATAACTATAAAATTATCTATTAGATAATACTATAATTATAAAATTATAATTATTTACTATAATTATTATATAATTATAGATTCTTATATCTATCATTACATAACACTTGTTATATAATTATTAATCTAATAATTATCTATTAGATATACTATAGTATAATACTATACTATAATCGAATTTAGAGAAAATCTTTTTGGTTTAGTATAGTATTATAGTATAGCATAGTATATACTATAATTATTTACTAGTATTATAATATGGTATTATACTATAACATTATTATAGTATAGTATAGTATACTATAGTATAATGTAATATTATATTATAGTACAATATTATACTAGTATTATATACTATATAGTATTATACTAGTATATATACTATATATATATATATATATATTTTTTTTTTTTTTTTGAGACTCTGTTGCCTGGGCTGGAGTGCAGTGGCACAATCTTGGCTCACTGCACTGCAACCTCTGCCTCCCAGGTTCATGCAATTCTCCTGCCTCAGTCTCCTGAGTAGCTGGGATTACAGGCACGTGCCATCATGCCCGGCTAATTTTTTGTAATTTTAGTAGAGACGGGATTTCACCATGTTGGTCAGGCTGGTCTCGAACTCCTGACCTTGTGATCCACCCGCCTCAGTCTCCCAAAATGCTGGGATTACAAGTGTGAGCCACTGCACCCGGCTAGATACTATATTATACTAGTATATTATTACTAGTAGTATTATATACTAGTATGTAGTATAGTATATATACTAGTATAATACTATAGTATACACTTTTATACTAGTATATGCTATAATACTAGTATTTTTATAGTATATATTAAGCTATACTATAATACTATACTAAACCAAAAAGATTTTATCTGAATACCACACTGTAGTCTATAGTATAGTATATTAGTATCTGCCTTACAGTAGGGCAGAGAGAACATAGACCCCTGGCAGTGAGAGCCAGAGTTCATCGAGCTTTGAAATAGTGGAGTATTTTCACTTATGAACTGATGTGCTCATCCTGGATAATGCTGGCACTAATCCATCTGGCTGTAAGTTTTACGTAGAATTAGGCACCTGTGAATTAGGCAGCTTTATATGTTGACATTAAATATATGTACATTATAGTATAGACATTAAATGCAATCTCTGTACATCTGATGCCTTCATTATGTATACACAAATTGGGCAACTCTAAAATGTTGATCCTGGTAAGATGTGCTGTCTGTCCTTAACTTGAAGCAGTTTGCTCTTGAGACTGCTACTGATAAAGCCCTAAGGTGGAAACTGGAATTCTATGCAAACTGAACACAGAAAATCTTAGAAAAGCATTCCTAACATGCTGCACCCTCCTTCTTTAAAGCACAAGTTTTCCACAGTCGATGCTTTGGTGGAATATGGAGGAGAAATCAGGCTGAGCCTTCCAAGCAAGTTTCTACCTAGCACAGTAAACTCATTTTCTTTTTGTATCTTTATCCCTTCATTTGCTCTGGTCTGGAGCTATCTCCTCAGTCTCAGCTCCTGCTCTACTCTCACCAGGTAGCAGCCTCTAAGAGTGTACCGGGAAAAGTAGCCACCTCTGCGGGTGTTTATGGGAACCAGTTGATAATTATCCCCAACAGATTTCGATCATAGAACCATAGCTTAGGTTTCCCAAAGCTCCTACACAGCTTGGTCTCAAATGCTGAAAGACAAATCTATTCTTTCTGGTATTTTACCCTGTGTGACTACAAGACTGAAATATCAGACAAAAATCAGGTCCCCTACCATCTCATATACCAGTAGAATATGGCACTATGACAGCTGGTGAAAAAATCTTCACCAACTAGTCATACAACTGTATCTGGTAAACACACGTGTCTGAAAAGGGAATTAATCCAAATGGCTCCTTCCCTCGTGTAGCCAAGAATGCATTTTTTGATGAGAAATGCGACGAACTTAAAGGGGCATGCAAGAAACATTGTGAGAAAAATGAAGAACTTACTTCTTTCTGCCAGAAGTCTCTGAAATGCTGTCGGACCATCCAGACATGTGGGAACACTATAGATTAATGCAGAAGATTTAGGTTTCCAGAGAAGCATACATAACCTAGCTTCATTTTACTCTTGCCTCTACTGTAAGCAGACACTTTAATAAATATAGATGACTGTCTTTGCTCAGTTTGTCAAGTGTTTCATTTAGAAAGAAGAACAACACTGCCTGACCTTGATGCTCCCTCCATCCTGGTTTGTTTTTCTATCATTCTGGGATAAAGAAATTGTCCCAAAGCCATATGATATTTTCCTTAAAAGAGGACTAGAAGAGACTAGAAATCAACAAATCTCTAGCCTGTACTCAGTCAGTTGGGCCTTACTAACCTATTGAGATGAAAGAAGTAAACAAAAGTAAAGGAAAAAAAAGGGAGAAAGTGAGGTAGAAAGAAGATGAATAGGTAATGAGCACACTTTTAAAAAATTTTTACCATTGTGCCATATGCCCACATAAATGAGCACACATTTACATGAATAGCTACATGAACGACAAATTGATGGATAGGCAGTCCATTTATCGAGGACTTTTATGTGTCACACACTCACCTGTCTAAATTAATTATCATGACTCCATGTCTTTAATTGGGACTGATTAAATATTTCCTGTAGACTTGTTCTCTCCACGTAAATCTGAGATAAAATTTGCTGACAGGCAGGGGGGTTGTAAATACCTCTATGATTCTCAGTAACTCCAGTGATTTAGATCCTCTTCCCCAAATCCCTGCCTACTATTTTCCTAGGAACTGGCTGACAATTTACCTTCTGATTCTAAGCCTCAAAATTACTGTTACGGTGGGAATGTGTTCTTCCAAAATTAATGCTGAAGCCTAATTCCCACTGTGGTGATTAAGAGGTGAGGCCTTTGAGGAGGTGATTAAGCCTGGAGGGCCCTGCCCTCATGAATGGAATTAGCACCCTTATAAAAGAGGTTGAAAGAAGCTGCCTTGCTCCTTCCGCCATGGGAGGACACAGAGTTTGTCTCTTCAGCCACGTGAAGGCTGGGCAACAAGATGCTATCTTGGAAGCAGAAACTGGGTCCTCAGGATATAACAAATCTTTTAGGGGTCTTCCAGCCCCTAAAACTAAGTAATAAATTTCTATTGTTTACAAATCACCCGGTATAAGAGATCTTTTTATAGCAGCATGAATGGACTGAGACAATTACTCAGTTTAAGTAAGAATTTCCTGTCATGTTTCCAATGCTTAAGAGTTAGTTTTGGTTTCCTGCTGGCTCAGAAATCTTGCCTTACCTCCCCTTTAATTTTTCAAAGTCGATAGATTTAATTCTATTATAATCAATAACCCTTTTATGAAAAGGATGTTTTAGTTATACTTTGTATTTTGAGATAATTGTAGATTCCTATATAGCTCCAAAAAATTAAGAATAATACAGAGAGGTACCCAGATCTTTTACTCTGTTTTCCTCAATAGTAACATCTTTGTAAAACCATAGTGCAATATCACAACCAGGATAGTGACACTGATGCATAACATTTCCGTTATCAGGAGGACTTCTCATGTTACCCTTTCAGAGCCACTCCGTCTTCCCTCACACCTCCACCTCCTTCTTAACCCTTGTATAAGTGATTTGTTCTCCATTTCTACAATTTTATCCTTTTAAGAATACCATATAAATGGAATGTATTATCCTTATTAGATTGATTTTTTTCAGTCAGCATCACTTTCTGAGGATTCATCCAGGTTGCTGCATGTGTCAATAGCTCTTTCCTTCTCATTGCTGGGCAGTATTCCAGGATATGGATGAACCACAGTTTGTTTAATCACTCCCCCAGCGTAGGGCATCTCTCTCTCTCTCTCTCTCTCTCTCTCTCTTTCCCTCCCCCCCCCTTCCTCCACTTCATCACTTCCTCTTCTCCTCTTTCCCTCTCCTTCTCTTTTGCATAGGGAAATCTAATTGTTCAAGCATCATTTGTTGAGAAGACTGTTCTTCCTCCATTACATTACCTTTGCTTCTTTGATAGACAGCAGCTGCTTTGGTCTTTTCTGAGCTATCCATTCTGTTCTATTGATCTCTTTGATCTATTTATTTATTGCTTCACCACTCCCACACAGCCTTCATCATTGCAGTTTTATAGTGAGTCTTGATATAACGTAGTGTAAGTTCAGTGTATTCATCCATTTTCACACTGCTATAAAGTAATATCTGAGATGGGGTAATTTATAGAGAAAAAGAAGTTTAATGGACTCAGAGTTCCACACAGCTGGGGAGGCCTCACGATCATGGCAGAAGGCAAAGGAGGAGCAAGATATGTCTTACATGGTGACAGGCAAGACAGCGTGTGCAGGGGAGCTGCCCTTTATAAAACCATCAGATCTTGTGAGACTTCCTCATTATCATGAGAACAGCACAGAAAAAAACACACCCTAATGATTCAATTACCTCCCACCAGGTCCCTCCTATGACTCATAGGGATTATGAGGGCAACAATCCAAGATGAGATTTGGGTAGGGACACAAGCAAACCTTATCATCCACCAACCTACCAACCTTGTTCTTTTCCGTATTGTACTGACGATCCTAGGTCTTTTGAATCAGTTTGGAAATATCGACAACATATCTTGCTAAAAGTTTGATTGGGATTATATTTAATCTATAGATCAAGTTGTAAATAATTGACATTTTAACGTTAAATTCTCCAATGTATGAACACAGAATATTTCTCTTGTTAAAATAATTAAATGAGAGGCCATGAGACTGAGGGAGCTTCAGTGCACTCGGTTTCTACATAAACAAACTAAAACCCAACTTAGTTAGAATAGTAAAAGAAAACTTTAACCAATCAGAAACCACTAACTAACCTCTGAGAAGGGACTGTCAACTGGAATGATTCGAATAAGGCTTTTACTCCACTTTAACCAATTAAATGTTTTATTTGCCGTTCTTCTATTTTCACCCTATAAGAGCCTTTTTTTTCCTCCTGCCTCTTTGCCTGAGCCCCAGAAGACTTGTGACTTGGAGCCTGCCCTATTCTTAAATTGATACCTGCTCAAAAGAAAACTTTAAGATTTTTGTGTACCTAAGTTTATTTTTTAACAGTTCTATTGTCAGAAGAGGGACCCCAGGAAGCCCTGATGGTGGTTCCTGGGACAATGAGTAACCAGATGGAGTTACCAGCTGAGCCCATTATACTCACTGCTTTCTCTCTGTGTCTGGATCCAACAGAAACTCAACTGGGTTCAACAGAAGGTCTTAAGAAGGTAGGGTTTGGGGAAGACAAAGAATCATGAGTTCATCCTCATCCAAGTAGTCTGGAACCTCTCCATCTGGGACTCTAGCTACGTTCATGTATAAAAATTATGAACCCAGAACCTGTGTTTTTCTAAATAAATGTGTAAACTTTCCTAATGACAACTTAGAATTATAGTGGTCACAGTGAAGAAATTTTAACCTAAACAGTTATTCATCTATAAGCTACATTGAAAGAGAAGTGATCTTAAATGCCTCAGAGAAAAATGACATATGTTTTTGGTTGGCATGCAGAGGCTTCTAAAAGACTAAGCAAATCAAACGTGCCTTTCTTAAAGACTCTTTGCAAAAGGCAAATTAAAAGCTTAAGCACTTAATCAGTGATGATAAAAAATTGTACATTGACTCACTCAACTCTGAATACTCCTTCTTTTCCTCCTCTCTCTCTTCTTCCTCTGCCTAATTACTCTGATTCCACCAACCACTTCACTCAGCTGCCTTTCTACTCTGAAGATGAGAAGGGAGTTAGGAAAATGCCTTCTAAAGTTAGGTCCTCAGATCAACTGTGTCTGCCTTCTTTAATTACCTTTATGTCTCGGTCAAAATCCGAACTGACAGAAATCGTGAAAGACTTCTCCAACTCAAAGGAAAACCTCCAGGAATTTGCTGAGGAATTTAGAATCCTCATTTAAGCATATAATCCATGACTTCCTGATCTTTGTCAGTTTATCCACATGATACTGGGACCTGGTCCAGCCTGCAAATGGAGGCGATGGCTGAATGGAACTAACCTGAGGATGATATTAAGGATCTTATGTCTCAGACAGCTGCAAGGGGCAAACAAAAAAGAGGCAGGGGAAAAGGAAGCATTCTATAATCTTATAAGTAAATCTCATCTTTACCTGGGCCTGTGTTCCTGCACTGTGACCGCCAAGATAACTTTTTTTTTTTTTTTAATCTCTGTCACCAGGCTGGAGTATAGTGGCACGATCTAGGCTCACTGCAACCTCCTCCTCCTGGATTCAATGATTCTTCTGCCTCAGCCTCCCGAGTAGCTGGGACTACAGGCGCATACCACCACATCTGGCTGATTTTTTAATTTTTTTTAGTGGAGATGGGGATTCGCCATATTGGGCAGGCTGGTCTTGAACTTCTGACCTTGTGATCCGCCCACCTCGGCCACCCAAAGTGCTGGGGTTACAAGCGTGAGTCACCATGCCCGGCTCACAAGAACTTCTTAGCTACCCACATCCCTCAAGTGAGACAGGAAGGTCAGATGGGGCTGGAGTAGGGAAACGTCTTCCCCTCCAGGTGGGATACGGCTCTAGTAAAATCATTTTTCCTGCAGAGGAGGAGGCTTTTGTTATGGGGAATCCTCTGGACATGTTTCACAATATCACTCTTCACGTCTTTCAGAACAACCAGGGCTTCCATTCTGGCTCTTCACCATAATCTGGCTCTTCAATCTAATAAGGATAATACATTCCATTTATATGGTATTCCTAAAAGGATAAAATTGTAGAAATGGAGAACAAATCACTTATACAAGGGTTAAGAAGGAGGTGGAGGTGTGAGGGAAGACGGAGTGGCTCTGAAAGAGTAACATGAGAAGTCCTCCTGATAACGGAAATGTTATGCATCAGTGTCACTATCCTGGTTGTGATATTGCACTATGGTTTTACAAAGATGTTACTATTGAGGAAAACAGAGTAAAAGATCTGGGTATCTCTCTGTATTATTCTTAATTTTTTGGAACTATATAGGAATCTACAATTATCTCAAAATACAAAGTGTAACTAAAGCATCCTTTTCATAAAAGGGTTATTGATTATAATAGAATTAAATCTATCGACTTTGAAAAATTAAAGGGGAGGTAAGGCAAGATTTCTGAGCCAGCAGGAAACCAAAACTAACTCTTAAGCATTGGAAACATGACAGGAAATTCTTACTTAAACTGAGTAATTGTCTCAGTCCATTCATGCTGCTATAAAAAGATCTCTTATACCGGGTGATTTGTAAACAATAGAAATTTATTACTTAGTTTTAGGGGCTGGAAGACCCCTAAAAGATTTGTTATATCCTGAGGACCCAGTTTCTGCTTCCATGATAACCTTGGGGGCTTCCTGGATTTAAAACCCAGGATAGCAGGGGTTGAGAAGGGAGAGCTTTGACCATGGTCTCTAGTAGTTTTTCACTATCCTAAATGTCCACGTTCAGCCTCCAGCAAGTTGACAAAGTTACCGTAGGTGTCCCTGCTAGTTTATGGTTTCAGAGCTTCCATTCCAGGTTAGCTCATCTCGGCTGTGACTCCAGATTTCCAGAAGATGGGTTTGCCCTGAGACCTCAGTGGCCTAATGGGTTCAAGGAAAGTCATTGATTTCTCCTTTTATTTGGCTTTCTTTTTTCTTTTTTTAAGAATTAAAGTAGTGACTTTCAGTCTTTTTACTTGTAGTTACCGAAACCAGAACTCTGAAATACTTTATACGGACTCAGCAAATAAAGCTTTTATTTTTTCTCCTAAGAAGATATAGGATTTCTTTTGAAGTTTGGTTATTCAGTCCCTGTATATGAATTCCATTTTTTTTAAGAGCTACTGAATATTTATTAATATCAGAATTTTTAAATTTTCTTCAGAATCCTGGTCACATAGATGACCTTGAATATTAGCTGATTTTTTCCCTTTGAGGCTCAACATCAAAAATTATTAAAGCCTAACATGTGGCAGGCTAGGAGGGTCCCATGGCTCCTGCACATTTGTGCTTGCTGTGTGTCTGCTGTGGGGAGACTATTTGACGGCCTCCACCTGCTGCATATACGTAACCTGCGGCTACCATTCTCGCCCTGACTGCTTCCAGTCAGTGAATGAGCACATTGTGGACTAGAGCTGGGCCATATCTGCTGGTGTGGGACAGTCTTGCCCTGGGGTTCCCCACTGGCAATGCTGAAATTTTCTGCACTGCAGTCTGAGGCTCCCCCGACTCCAAACCTTTTCACAGGTGTTAACTGACATCACGTTCTGAAGACTTTCCCTACTCAATCTTGCTCCCTCCCTGCTCCAACTTTTCATTTTGAATTTTTATTTTATTTTATTTTCAGAGACAGGGTTTTGCTCTATTGCCTACACTGGAGTGCAGTAGTGCCATCATAGCTTACTGCAACCTTGAACTTCTGGGCTCAAGAGACCCTCCTGCCTCAGCTTCCCAAATAGCTGGGACTACAGGGACACATCACCATCCCTGGCTAATTTTCTTGTTGTGTAGAGATGGGGTCTCTCTATGCTGTCCATGATGGACTCAAACCCCTGAGCTCAAACGATCCTCCTCCCTCACTCAGCCTCCCAGAGTGCTGGGATTTACAGGTATGAGGCACTGCACCTGGCCCCCCTTTATTTTTCACAGGCATTTCCCAGTAAATTTATTTCCTTTCTAATTCCTGTTGATACATGCTTCATGGAGCACCCAAACTGGCACAGTTTGTGATTTCTGATCTTCTATTCTATTCTGTTACCCTGTAAGGAGACCTGGTTTTCTATCACATTCTCCCCTAAGTGAGAACTCTGGGGAAGACACACTGACTGCTAGATTTTGCTTAGGATGTGCAAGCAACGTATGTCTGTCAGGTTTTGCCTAATCTGTGTTCTAGAATGAGGAGAGCTTATTCAAGAATGTCAGCTTCCAAGATTGGATATTTTGCTTTCTCTAAAACGTTTTATTTTATTTTAAGAATTATGTTTTGCCTGGGGTGGGGTTGGGGTTAAATCCAGGGAGCATATACCCTGGGTTGAGGGCAGGGCATATGCTCTCTGGAAGGTTAAAGAGGAAGGTTATGTTTTATTTGGAGCCATTGTTAGAAACACAGCATTCCTATAAATCGTCTCCTTTTAACCTCTCTTCTCACTCTTGTCCTCCTTTTCATCCAAGCCCTAAGTCAGCCTGATGCTCTGTGGTTACACATCCCACCCTTGGACAATGCCCACCATCAAGTATTCCTTGTTGTCACTTGTCATCCTCATCCTACACGCTTTCTATCACAGAAATGTGCTGGGACCCTCACGCATTTATGGCCTCCCCACGCTCCATGCCATTCTTCTCATTGACATTGTATGTTTCTTTGAATGTCTACTTCAGAGAGGTCTTGGGGGTGATGGACTTCAATTCCATTACCCGCACCACCGTTTTAACAAGAATCTCCTGACTGAAACTTACTGAAATGGAAGAGAAAGTCGTCTCACCAGAATCGAGGAATGTCAAGGCTGGAAGGTAACTTAGAAATCATCTAATCCAATTCTTGCTTCAGAAATGATTCAAGGAAGCAAGTGAAGTGACTTGGACTTGACCTATGCTAATCCTGTCTCCCCACCCTCAACACTGCCCTGCTGACATTTCTGTAGCCCCAACACCCCGCCTCCCCGCCAAACACACACACTGTGCCTTGGTGAGTGTTCACCAAGGAACGCTGCCTTTTGATAAGCCTCAGTAATCAGGAGCAGGTACAGCCTCTGCCCATAAATACACCTGCCCCGCTCCTGCCTGGGGTGATTCCCTCCAACTTCTGTCTGCTTCTTGCCAGCAGCCCCAGCATTATGCAGAGACTTGTGCTGCTGTTAGCCATTTCTCTTCTATTCTATCAAGATCTTCCAGGTAAAAAGAGACTCTCAGCAGGAAATGTATACAGTTGCTGGGGATGACAGGTGGAGAAGAAAAACATTTGATTTAGAAAATAAATCCTGAAGGATGGAGTAACTTTATTCAATCCCAGTCCTTTTCTCTTTGTTTTCATTGGGTCCATTGGTAAAATGCAGTAGTGGCAGTCCTTGTATGCACCCTACAGCCACGAGGCTTACTAGCTCAAGGAGGAAAAAAGAAACGTAGGGATCAGGAGTCCTGGATGTCATTGGCCCCCTGGCCACACACGGTAACAATTCCTCATGGAATCCTCAGCGATGAGGACTCATTAGCCATGCTTGTTCCGTTGCAGGTCAGAGGTAATTATTCATTGTTGATTTTGTAGAATAAGATGCCTTCCCCCATCCTCCTCCTTCTGAACAGCTTTACTCTGCACAGAATGGATGCCTACTCATCCTCCTAAACTTTGCAACTTTTCATATGAAGTCAGATGATTAGGATTAAAGGGGATGCAGTGATTTTAGTAGGCAAGAATATAAATTACTGACAACACAAATAGCAGGTGCCTTTGAACTCTGCTAAGCAAATTTTAAAGTTAGACTGAGAGGTCAGAAACCTTCTGACTCCTACGTTATTCTATGTCCCTAGAAGCATATATTTCTTATCTATTTGGAATGGATATGAGAGAGCACAGAATCTAATCTTACAAGCTGAGCAACATTCTTTTTTTTTTCTTTTGAGGCAGAGTCTCAAAATGTTGCTCAGTTTCTTTTACAAGCTGAGCAACATTCTCTATAGTACAGTGAGAGAAAATAAGATTTTTAGAGTTGCTTAATAAGACTAGCAGTGCTGGGACGAAACCAATTGTTTTGACTCATAGAAGCCATCAGATCTTCTCTTCCAAGCTGCTCAGTCGATTTTGTGGGGCTTTGACAGACACTCAGCACCCATCTTTTTCCCCTTCCAGGCTGTGCCTCTGCTGTGATTCAGATGGGTTAACGATTTTTTTCAGAGGGTACCTGTTTAGGTGAACTCTTCCTTGTTCTTTCTTCCCGTGTCATTTCCCAAAGACACTTCTGTGAAATTCTGCTACGAGCATGTTCCAGGTCTGTCAAAATATGGTAGCAATTTATCAAAGAACAGGTTTTCTTCAACCTGTGATCCCAAGACAAAGAACATCTTGGGATGGAAAGCCTGGGTCAGGGATCCCTCCAGATCCCCAAGAATGCACCACAGAGCTGGCTGCCGTTACCTGCACTTGACTGCTGAGGACTGGGTCAGACTGGACTCTGTAGTCTAATTCTGAGAAAGACCCTTAGCAGGAAGAGGATTTGGGAGGGAAGTGGCAGAAGTGGGTGAGGTTGAATGACATGCGCTGCCCGCCTCCTCTCCTGCCACCCCTACTTTGGGTAAGTTTGGCTGTCACACACTGTCAACCCCTCAGATACCCACAAGGACTGGGGATGGGGGCTGTAAACCAAAAATAAAATTCTAACCCCGCTTCCCAACCATCCAAATGGACTCCCTTCTCAGCCAGGGCTCTTAAAATTTTATCTGGTTAATTTAATCTGGTTAAATTTAATCTAGTTCAGGCCATGAAAGGAAGTGGGGGTCGGACATGCCTCATGATACTTTCCAGCATGAACATCAACACAGACTTTAAGTCTGATAAGAAACATTTTACAGCCTGTTCTCTCTGAAGCCTGCTAGCTAAAAGCTTCAACTGCATGATACAACTTTGGTCTCCACAACACAATCTCTTGTCGCAACCCAAACGTTCCTGTCTATTGATCCCAGGTCTTTAGACAAACTCAATCGTCAACCAGAAAATGTTTAAATTTACCTATAGCCTGGAAGGCCACCTGCCACAGACTCCCACTGTACCGCTGCAGGACCCCCTAACCGCCCCCCACTTTGAATTCCCACCTTTCTGGACCAAACAAATGTAAATCAGCCAGGTGTAGTGGCTCATGCCTATAAGCTCAGCATTTTGTGAGGCTGAGGTCTGCGGATCTCTTAAGGTCAGGAGTTCGGGACTGGCCTGGCCAACACAGTGAAACCCTGTCTCTACTAAAAATACAAAAATTAGCTGGGTATGGTGGCGCATGTCTGTAATTCCAGCTACTTGGGAGGCTGAGGCAGGAGAATCGCTTGAATCCGAGAGGTGGAGGTTGCGGTAAGCTGAGATCATGCCATTGCACTTTACCCTGGAAGACAGAGTGAGACTCTGTCTCAAAAAAAAAAAAAAAATTAAATCTTACATGTATTGGTTGATGTATTATGTCTCCCTAAAATGTATAAAAGCAAGCAAACTATATCAAAACCACCTTGGGCACATGTCCTCAGGACCTCCTGAGGTTGTGTCACAGGTGTGCTCTCAACCTTGACAAAATAAACTTCTACATTAACTAAGATCTGAGATCTGTCTAGGAGTTTCTGGATCTATAGAGCAGAGAAGCAAAATTGCTTATGCAAGAAAGAAACTAGTGTAGTGTAGACAACCCTGCAATGTATTTGTTGTTTAGGATGTATTTATTTTTCAGCCTCAGTGTATGGACTGTATTCTCCCTTTCGCATTCTGTTTACTCAGACTATAAGACACACCAACTGGGTTTTTGTTCCAGCTTTGACACATAAGTTGCCGTGTGACCTCAGGTTAGTCACTTTCCTTCTCTGAGCCTTAATTCCCATCTCTGAATAGATGGCCTGTGAGGGCTTGCTTGAAACTGACAGTCTAACATTTTAAAGGTTGTGTTCTCTTCCTAGTCTATTCTTCTTCTCCCCTAATGCTAAGCTTTGTTTTCCCTGAGCAAGCATGGTGTCCTTCTTCTCCTCCTATAACTGCAGGTTGTAAAGTGGCCTGCCACAGATATGTCAGAAGGCACGTATCTGCTACCCAACCTCCACACTCGCTCAGCATGATACACATCACAGCCCACCTCACTCCTTTCTTCATTGCCTTGTACTGTGACCACAAGGGCTTGCTTTTGAATGAAGGTTACAGCAAAACAGTCTTTCCTCGTCACCCACTGTGGGGCCATTCCAAATATAAACCCGTTCAATATCCTATCAAACACAAGAATTGGTCGAACTTCCTTTTAGTCCTCACTCACATCCTGGACAAAGAATCTTGACACCTAAGCATCAGAAACAGGAGGCTTCTCTTTACCGGAACAAGGGAAAGACATAAAACCCTGGTGCGAGGATTAGCAGCCCGTTTCAGTTCTCCTGCCCTGCTGCTTTGTGGAAAATGAACAGATGCAACAGGGGAGAAGGACTCAGGGCTCAAGTGAAATTAGGGTCCTTGAGCCCTGACCTCTGCAAAGAGGTCCACTTGCAGCTCTGACTCTCCTCTCCCCAGGGTTCCTCTGACACCCTCCCCCAAGCCTGGCTCCTGCTGAGTTTGCTAGAGAACCTCATGCAAAGCCCTCTCCAGCGAGGCTCTCTCCGTCCACCTTACACTGTCCTCCCTACCATCAGCCTTGCTTCTGGGTTCTCCTGATATCTCTGTGAGATCCTATCAGTGTGGCATGTGAGATAATGAGCTTTACAAAGCTGCTTTTAGCCTCAGAGAGCACACCCTGAGACTGAGAAACTAAATCCATGTCTCCTGAAAACTGCTCTGGGCCAAGGGCCAAACAATCCGGATTCTGCTCCTTTCTAGTTTCCTCCACTCTACTTGCATCCACTCTAGTTTCCTCCTGTCTAGTCTATCCAATCATTCACTCACCAGGTCCTTACTGAAAACAGGCTATGTTCCCGGTACCAGTTACACAATGGTAAGCAACATAAATAAACATGGGCCTCATTGTCGGGAGGTCATAGTTCCATTGAGAATACCAAATAATAAAATATACATATACACATATCTATATCTATATCTAGGTATGTATGTATCTCTCTCTTTCCCTCTCTCTCTATATATGTATCTATCTCTCTCTCTATGTATATATAGATACATAGATATATAGCTACAACTTGTGATAAGTAATATAAAAGACTAACAAATACATAGGGAGAAAAATAGTTTTGGGGCATTTAAATACATGAATAGGACAGAGAAAGATTTGCCCAATATTGGGATCTTAAGGTTGAGACATAAAAGTTCAAAGAATCCACGTATGGGAAGAAAAACCTTCCAGGCAGAGGGGACAGTGCACGTGAAGGTATAGGATAGCAAAGAGTTAGCTCACACGGAACAGAAGGGAGGCTGGTGAGGGTATCATGGACAGAGTGAGGGCCGCAGTGGAATAGCATGAGTTTGAAAAAGTGGCCCAAGATCAGATCATGATTGCTTTTGAGACCCAGTAAGAGGCTTGGTGAGATTTAATCAAAAAACAATAGTAAACTGTTGTAGGGATTTTGAAAATAGGTGTGATATGGACTGATGTGTATTTTCAAATACATTGGGAATCAGAGGGTCAAGTTGACCGTCTAGGAAAGTGGAGGAGGATGGGGGTGCAGGAAAACCTCCACCACCATGCACTAGCATTCTCTACCCCCTCCGAAAACACCTTCTGCCAAAGCCTTGCCTTTTGGTGCCAGTACGCAATTAATCACAGTGCCATATCCTGTTATCTAGTGAGAAGTGAATTTGAATTGGACAGAATATGTGGTTATGGGACTGCCCGCTGCCGGAACAAATGTCGAAGCCAAGAATACAAAATTGGAAGATGTCCCAACTCCTATGCATGCTGTTTGAGAAAATGGGATGAGAGCTTACTGAATCGTACAAAACCCTGAAACGCAGTAGTGCTGGTCCCTAGAGTCACTGGAAGCAGGACCTCAGTAGCTTTCCTTCCTGTGGCCTTGCAGCAAGGGCATCCCCATTGCAACCACGGATTCAGTTATCAAACAAGGTTTGCTGAGCTTCCACTCAATGCAAAGCCAATATAGGAGATTGAAGAAGAATACAGCCTGGAAAGCCCCTCTGGTTGTGATCATGGAGGATAGTAATGGAGGTTAATCATGAATTTCAACACTGCATAAGTTAGACCAAAAATATGTCTACCTAATCAGCTAGAAACTGAAGAAAAACATCATTTTTATTCTGATAATGCTGGTTTTCTTTTCTGATCAAAAGTTTTGCTCAGAAGTTGTATATGTCTTTTGTTAATTAAAGTGGAAAGTAAATCAATGTTAAGTGTGCCTTGTTTAGAATACACTGTATTTCAAAACATAGACCTCTGAGGAGAAAAACAAAAGAAGTGATGTGTGATGACAAGCTTGGGAACCCACTGGAACTTAAGAGATTGATCAAGTGGGTGTCTGTGGAGAGTCCCATGCAGCAGAGGGCAGCAGAGAGCAGCCCTGCGCTGAGCTGTGGATTCTTGACCCTGAAAACTGGTAAAGAAACGGGACTGATGAACATTTGGCCTGCCTGCCTTTCTTGTCCAAACCAAATTTGAAGGTAGTGAAAAGCTTCTCTCCTCAAAAGTAGTCCAGCTAACAAATGAGGAGTGTCACCATTTTGCAAACACATAGGGAGACAGGGATCTAGCCAAGGAATGTCAACAGCAATTAAAATAAGACAGAAAGACAACCTGCTACCCTGGGCTTCCTAATAGAAGGACATAATGCCATGTGTGAGCTGCTAGTCATGGTAAGCGGCATCATCTTCACCTTTTCAGGGTGAAAACTGAGGCTGGATTCTGCCCTTTCTGCCAAAACCATGTAACGGTCCTTCACATAGCCATCACTCAGCCTCAACATGTGGTTAGTCTTATTTCATCCCTTAATAAGACCCTCTCCTAGATTATCTCAAATAAAAATCAATTATTTCAAAGATGCCCTTTTGAAAATACTTCAGAAGGTGCAACTCAGGGGGGAAACAACTCATTTTGTAAAATAGAACCCCATTTTGTAAAATATGGGGTTGGAAACAACTCATTTTGTAAAATAGAACTCATTTTGTAAAATAGAACCCGTGGAAAAAAATCAACACTTATTCCTTAATACAATCTAATAGTCAATCTGTATTCAAATGACCCTGAGCATTTCATAAGTGCCTTTTTAAGAACTGCTCTATTAGAATCTGGATCCGGGAAGGTCCACATACTGCCTCAGGTGGTTTACCTCCAAGGCCTCTTGCACAGATGGTGATGTGTGCTTCTATTCCATCTATAAAATATTGTGCTGAAAATGGAGTGTATACCTGGGCAAGCCCCTAGATCTCATCACTGCAATTACAGGAAAAGAAGAAACTACTGAACCACCACTAAGGATGCCACATTCCAAATGCAACATACAGAACACGCTATAAGACAATGTGACATTTATTTTATTCTTACATTGTTTTAGACCCTTTTCATTATTCTCATATTTCATATTTTATAAAATACTTCTAACACATAATCTCCTTTGATCCTCACCATAAACTCTTGAATTAGGCATGGTAAGTGTCATCATCCTCACCTTTTAGGTATTGTTACTACGGTTCAGAGGGACTAGTGCTTTCCTAACATTGGCCAGGATATTACGCAAGACCAGGCCTAGACACCACATCTCAAGTGCAATTCAGAGGCAGCACAGCATGACATGTACAGATACACAAAGCCTGAAATCCCAGCTCTACTGCTCAGCAGGTGACCTTGGGAAGGTGACTTATCTGACTTGTACCTTGATTTCCCCTCCTGCCATATGGCCATTTTGCCCAACAACACTTACAAACACAGACCCAACTGCTGACCCTGTGCTAAAATTGTTTTTTGCCTCCTTTTAAAATTTAATTTGATGCCTTGCCAAGAGAGGCCATCTTGCACTTCCCAGTGTAAATATAGAGCAAAGCAAGGGACTTCTACAGACTTTAATCAGCGCCACCAGCCGTGGTGGCCAGAGAGACAATAACAAGCAGAAAGCAAAGCTATCTCATCGTCATTGATGACTTGTATCGTGGTCTTCTCTGAAGAGCCCTGGGTTTGGCTTGCCGTCCTGGTGTCCTGTTGTTTTGCTTTCTAAAGAGGCTGGATTCTGAAACAGCGCCCCCTCCCACCCCCAAGTGTAATTCACATAGTCATATTAATGAACCACTATCCTCAGCACTTAAGGACATCACAAAGTCACACTACTTTAATTTCAGGGCTTTACAGTGAAAGGACAAAGATAGATTGTTCTATTTTATTGTTTCCAGAATTGGCAGGAAATATTTAATAATTTGGACTTGATGCACTACAAACACAACCAGAAACCTAATAACATCGCTACTTATCTTCTATCTCCAAAGGATGGATACAGATCTGAAGTCTGTAGTTCACAATGAATGATCAGTAACCCTTTGAAATGTGCCTAATGAAAATCTACAGAAGAAAGGATTGTTTGGATATTTTTCACTTTATAATTTATGCATTTTTTATTATTTGAAGTTGAGAGAGAGACAGAGATTGACAGAGAAAATCTCTGGGTGTGCAAATCCACCACCCAGGTCCTTATTAACATATCCAAAAGTGCAGAACTTGAAATTTTCAACATTCAGTAGTTAAGATTTTCAACAGTGGCACATTCTCTTTCTTGCCTCCCAAGAGACCTCCCATTAAATCCTGGGAAATATGACTATGAAAAGGGGAAACATATTGCAGCCAAGTTTGTGCTCAGAAGTTGCTCTAGAATCAACCTTCTCTTGCATTACCACATGACCCAAAGAAAATTAACATGGAGGAGTCTCACAGATGAGTGAAGCAGAGATTCCTACGTAGATTTTCTTATTCCTGAATTTTAGATTGTGATACATCCACAAGGACTGCTGGGACCACCTCAGTTTCATAGGCACAGAGGGCCCTGTGGGTAAAAGAAGGTGGGGTCCTGAGTCTTCCCAACATGACAAAGTCAGAGGCAGACACATGGTGAGTGGCAGAGCTGCCTTTGTGCCTGAATCCAAGAGAAAAAAATGGTCAACCTCTGAGGACTGGGAAGGGGCTGAAATGCTTTCCAGTTGTGAGAAATTACACACACAAAATAAAAGCATCATGGAGAAAAGATACCATTCCAGTGAAAAACTACATTTCTTCTTATGTCTGTGACCACCATGAACTCCTGCTCTTCCCCAAACAAATTTGCTGCCTTTCCCTTTAACCTTGAGCACCCCTTTGTTTCCTTTGTTTATTTACGTGGACTCCATTCTGTTAATAGTGTCTGCAGTGCATAGCCTGCTCCAGATCATTAGTCTTTAATTCACACATATAGACACATTGCTTTTTCACTCATCCCCCATTTCCGCCTCTTAAAATATTGGTTAGGTATCTCAGACAGTTTTCAGTTCTAAAATGTTACGATTGTTTTGTCAGAATTGGCAACCTCAGCCTGGTGGGGTGGCTTACGCCTGTAATCCCAGCACTTTGGGAGTCAGAGGCGGGAGGATCACTTGAAGTCAGGAGTTCAAGATCAGCCTGGCCAACATGGTGAAACCCCGATCTCTACTAAAAATACAAAAATTAGCTGGGCACGGTGGCAGGCACCTGTAGCCCCAGCTACTCAGGAGGCTGAGGCAGGAGAGTCACTTGAACCTAGGAGGTGGAGATTGCAGTGAGCCGAGATCGCGCCACTGCACTCCAGCCTGGGCAACAGAGTGAGACCCTGTCTCAAAAAAAAAAAAAAAAAAGAATACTATTTATTATTTGAATTGACCAGAAAAAATCTTGAAACAATTATTAGAATACTCTATAATGGGTTCTGCCTTTCTCCCCCTCAGGATGGATGTGGCTTTTAGCAGGAGAATTATTCAAAGATTTTTTTAGGACACAGAAATATGGCAGAAGAGGACAGGAGCTGAGAGCACTGTTGTGTTAGGAGAGATGTAACATTAATTGCCATTATTACAATTTCACCAGCTTTTGCCTGTCAAAGAGCAGAAATAGGTTTTCCCCGGCTGCTCTTTTTAAAATTGTTCTTTTTAGAAGCATGGGAGAGGGGGCTTATTTTATCTCAAGACCTAGACAAAGGAAGTGAGATCTAACTATTTTTGGCTCAGTTTCTTCATTTAAATCAGATCAAATAATTTTAATGACTTAGAAGAAGATTCCATTACCTGGGTGGTAATTTCTCAAATGCTGTTATATTTTAAGTCATGATTTTGATTAATGATTCATTACTATTAATATCTGAATGTGGACTAGGCTCGTTTTTTTTCCTTTCCTTTTGTAGAGAAGATAAAAATATGCAGAAATAAATTACCAATATGCTCCAAAATTTCGATCACTTTTATAAAAGATCCACATTCCAAGTTTAAATAATTACAAATACAACTGTAAGAAATTGCTATTGAACTAGAGTATAAAAAATACCCAGAGTACATAGATGAGCGAATAAATCTTCATTTAGGGTTGAGGTAGCAGCAGCTGTCTACCTCGTTTCTTGACCGTCTATGTTCTTCCAACATCCAATTGTCAGAATTTGATGCAGTAAGTGATTAAAGAAATTTATCATGGGCCAGTTGTCCCTGGTCTCCGCAATGTCCCCGTGTGCTCCTGGAATTGGAAGACTTCCTAATTCCTTAAAGTGAAAGGATGTGAATGGTGCTCCTGCTCTCCCTGACCAGCACCTCGTGCTTTGCAGTGGAGAATCTGTCCTGAGACCCGAAAGATAGTGGCCTCTGCATTGTGCTGCCAGGGCAGCTGCTGTGCGCACTTGTCCGCAGCTGTAAACCTTCTGTCCTTCGTTGGTGCTTCCCCGGATGCCCAGGTCTCTATGGTCATTGCTGCCTCTTTCTCCATTTGCTTCCAGCTTTCTCCAGGTAGAGAATAAGTATTTTTATTTACACAAATGACCTAAGATGTTTTCTCTGTCTGGATTAAAATGCACATGCAAAAGAGACATATGAGAAAAGTACTATCTTTTCCAGATACCGCTGATGTTATATTGGATATTAGGTGAATACAAAACTCTTCAACCAAAGCCTTCATCCCTTTAGTTAAGTCCAGAGCAGCCTGTCTGGGTTACATGTATGTCTGAGCTCATGCAGCCAAATAAGAAACACATACTTGGTTAAAATGTTTAAAGAGGTGAAGGAGAAGGGAAGACAAGCCCTCTGCTTGGATATTATGAGAGGAGAAAACCAAGGCTCAAACACAGATTTTTTTTTTTAAAGAATTGAATTGGACCCAGTGACATCAACAGGAGGTGTCTGGGGGTAAAGAGAATGGAAAGGGGAGAAAAAAATCAAGACAACTCAAATTTAAGTTAAAATAGAAAGGAAGGTGGTCCAAAGCGAGGAAGGAGAAGTGGAGGGGACCAAGAAATGGGAGAGAGACTCAGGGAGGCGAAGAATAAGAAAATAACATTTTGAGCAGCCTTGGAACTCTCTGTATAACTTCAGGAAGGGAGAGTTTGTAAAACCAGGTCCTACTGGTTTTGTTGTATGTCTTATGCATGATTTTTTAACACTAAAATAAAAACGTTTGGCAGACAGGATAGAATCAACATGGCAGTTTATGTCCCTGTTGTCATGAACATCGGGGGCTTTTGAGAAGCATTTGAGAACGTTGGCAACTTTATGTTAATTCATGTTTGTTCTGCCCCTCCATGCCTTAATCTTTCTGTTACTCTCTCTCTGTTCTTCCTTACTCTCTCTCTGTTCTTCCTTACTCTCTCTCTGTTCTTCCTTACTCTCTCTCTGTTCTTCCTTACTCTCTCTCTGTTCTTCCTTACTCTCTCTCTGTTCTTCCTTATTCACCAAACCCATCCAAGGCATTCAGGCATATTAATTACTTCCTGAAATACGTGGCTCAAGTGTTTGTTCCACCAGCAGTGGAACAAACCAGCACGTCCACATTGTCCTTTGAGAATGAGAAGTCATTCTGGGGCACTGCTCTTCCCACGCTCCGGGCCCACACACACAGCCCCACTCCATCAAAGGAGCCCTGCTGCCTGCCCACCCACCCGGGGTGCTTTCTGGCTTGCAGTCCTCTTGGCAGACATGAGGCAACGGTTGCTCCTGTTCTTCACCAGCCTTCTCCTTGTGGCTCTGCTGTTTCCAGGTAAAATGGAAAGGTGACCCAGGCATGGGTGCTAGAATCTCTCTGCAATGGTCATCTGGGGTATGGGAGTTCATGCTGGGCAGGGAGAGATGAAGTCCTGGGAGCACACATTCCTGGTGGAGCTTTGGGTCTCTGAACTGGGTTCATAAATGGCACTCTGAATTGGCTGATGGCACTTGCTTCCCAGGGGAGAGGGTCCCACCCTGACTCCATTTTCTTATCCTTTTAACATTCCCCTTTCCCTTACAGAGAAGAATATTACATTTTAGGGAATCTTAACAACTGCATTAGTGACACTTGAAGTAAATTCTCTGGCTGCGCTGGCTTTGAGGAGGCGCTCAGACTCACTGTTCATGGCATACATTTCTTACAAGTCATTCACCTTCTCCTCTCTCTACACACAGGCGCATACAACACATGTGCACAAATGTGCACACACATGGAACACTAGCATCCCTCCCAACTCCCCCACCCAATCACCCACACTCACTCACCTGGTAGAGCCTAGGTACCTCATGCTGACGGGTCTTCCAGGCGGAGGCCTCAGAGCACCCTCAGTCATGTGTTTCCACTTGCACAGGATTGTCCCAAGCCAGACATGTTAACCACTCAGCCACCGAGGCTCTCAGAGAACTCCGGGAAGGAGCCACTGGGCAAGGCACAAAGGGGTCTCAGCTGCTACGCCACCCAGTGAAACGGGCCCTCATAATACGGCGCATCCCCCCTTACCCAGGTGAGTCGGGGACCAACACGGGAAACAAGTGCATCCACTGGGGAGATGTAACCGGAACAAATAGATGGGAAGGTGTCTGTGCTGGTCGGGGTGGGTGAGCAGTCATTGTTTGAGGAAGACATGGTGTGGGTGCGTTGGGCTGCCCTGCCTGTCAGGGAGGCCCTGGGGTTTCACAGCTTCCCCTGGGGCTGGATCACTGAGGGCATCGTGGAACATGGAAGTTTTGAGGGGCCAAAAGGCAAATTATCTGAGGCCACGTCTAATTGCTAACTTCCTCCAAGAACAGGAGCCAGAGGAGACACTGGTGGAAACGTGGCTTCCTGCCAGGTTGCAACTCCATGCCGTTAGCTTTGGAGGTCGTTCCACCCCACAGGAATTTACTGAATACCTGCTAAGCGCCAGGTGTCCATTGCAGTCTGGAAAATGCTTCCTGAGGATGGGGGCAGAGAATAGACTGTATTGTCAGTCTACTCAGGCGAAGAGGTAGCAGGAAATTTCAAGGGACAATTGAGTCTACAGCCACCCTTCTAGACTCTTTCAGAAGGGCCAGGCTTCTGGTCAGTCCCCAAACCCCTGGACAGGACCAACTACAAATCCAGAAGGGCCTGGAGGAGCCTGTAGTTTCCAAGATGCTTCTTTAATCCCAAGCTCATTGCTGATCGTAAGACAGGGAGAACTAGGTTAGCAGCTCAGTGAGCAAGAGTAAGAAAGACAGGAGGGTGTCAGCAAATTGCTGTGACATCCAGCAAATAATGTCCTGCTAAATTTGACACCTGCAGCATCCTACCTAACCTCCCATCCCTTTCTAATTGGCCCTCAGTTCCAAAGGACTCATTCATCTGGACCTCCTCCCAAGGGAAGGGAAAAAGAAAACTCAATTATTGCACAACAAATATAAACAGGTGCAATAGTAGGCATGTGTTATTTAGTCTAACGGTATTCCTATGAGACAGGATTATTCCTTCCTTTGGTTAGAGGAGATTTAGCGGGGAAGAGCTATACATCTGGAGTTGATGTTTTAGTTTGGAACTTGAAGTTATTAACTATGGACAGCTGTTTCATATCCATGCCACCCCACCCTGTCCCTCAGGGCTGTAATGACCACAGTTTGATTCTGGAGATGGTCTTAAGAAGCTAATGTTGGAATTTTTTTTTTTTTTTAATGCAGAAGTTGAATCAGATTTAAGAATTGTCGACTGCAAGAGAAGTGAAGGCTTCTGTCAAGAATACTGTAATTATCTGGAAACGCAAGTCGGCTACTGCTCGAAAAAGAAAGACGCGTGCTGTTTACATTAAAACCGATGTCGCTGATATAGAAACAAAGCTCTGCCACTTACCCGTTCTCCCGGGCCACGTTGTCCAATCAGGTGCAGGTTTTTTGCGGAAGTGTCTGAGCAGCGGGGAGCGGAGGTATTGCCACTTGTGCCAGACAGTTCAAGTATTTTATTGTGGCAAAATAAATGACAAAAATGCTACCCGTGATCTTAAAGAAGATGATATAGCTTGACACAAACAGAATTTTCAAAATCACACAATTTGTCAATTTGTGCTAGTAAATGTGGATATAATAAACTTTCATTGGCAAGAATTCAAATAATTTGTTCTTTTATTTAAAAACTATTTTTTGAATACCTACTTCTATTCTAGGTTCTGTGCAATGGAGTCCATTCTGTTCTAAGTACTGTGGAATGTAGTCAGGATGTTAGGTGTGTGGTCAAACCCATTCTCCGTCAGCCCCATCAGCAACTACCCGCAGGCCGGTTCAAAGACCTGTTCTCTAGCAGCGGCTGAGAGTGTGCAGGCAAATGCCTTCTGGGGAGAGACTGGGAGCTGGGAGTTACGGCCTATTCTCTTTGTGCTACACCTGGAAGAATACCCACTGGAAGTCCTCTTGTGCCCCTTTAAAACTACCCGTTTGTTTTTCGTGGCCTTAGAAGACACAAAACGCAGAGCCCCATCTATGACCCGATGGTGCTGTGCATTTCCAGGCTTTTGGTGTCCTGAACAAAGAACTGGATGTGATACTCAAAGAGCAAAGCAAGCAGCAAAAGTGTGTGAAGCACAATATCACACTCCTGGAGAGGGGAGAGTGCGCTGACTTCTGCCAAATGGGATCAGCATGACTTCGGTGTACTTGGGTCTTTTTTTATGTTTTTTTTCCTTCTGTTCGCAAGGCTGCCTTATCTTTAGGCGGTGCTTGCCTTTTGATTGATAGGTGTGTTGCTTAGTTACTTTAGCCTCTGCGGGCTTGTGTGTTGTCTCCAGCCTATAATTTTAAGTACATGCATGATATGCAATCTATATGCATGTGCTTTAATGAACTGATTATCATACGGGGTCCTGTTAAGGATACTTTTTCTCTTTAATGCGCTTGCCTATCTCTGAAGAGCTGCCCCTTCCTGGTTTGGTCTGGATCTTGCTGGCCATGGGGTCCTTGCTCTCTTCTTTATCTTACTTTTTGTTTTGGCTGCTTCACTTCTGCCTCTTATATTGCTTCTTGCTCACCCACCCCTTCACCTTGCTTCTGTTTCTGCTTTTATTCATTCTGCCCTTTATCCAACTTCCAGTTTCCTCTGCAATTCTCCTGCCTCACATTCACTTCCAGAGATAAGTGATTTAGGAGCCAGTCCCCCAGGTGGCAGCTATAAAACTATGCTTGATGTGTTCTCCTTCTAGGGAGAAGTTGGAGGCCTGGATATTTTGCTGGAGCTAGTGGGGAAGAGCAGGCACAGTGCCTATCTGTATCTCTGTTCAGGCTCCCACAGGTCTACTGTTTACCCTGCCCCTTTGGCTCCCAGATGCAGACCCAGAAGTCAACCCTCAGGCAGCAGATGGGAAAATGGGTAGATAAAGCCCTTGCAGGTAGAAACCGGGAGGTGGGCATTTGCCTGCCTGCTCTGGCCCGAGCCCAGGGAGACAGCTGCCAAAAGTGCTTGCAAATCTGTGTCCAACCATCCCTTTGGCATCTGTGGTTTAGGGAGACCGGCAGATGTCAGATCTATCAACCCCAGGCTGGGTGATTTAGGAGCCAAATCCCTGAGTGGGAAGCATAAAGGTCAGGGTACTGTGTGTGTGGTCCAAAGCCTTCACTCTTCAGGGAAAAGCTAGGAGTTAGGACTTCCTTGCCGATTGATTGTAAGGTGCTATGCCTGGGATAGGGACTGTGCTGGGAGTGTGCCTCAGCTCTTCCCGCCTCTTTTCACACAAATATTTTCTCAGTTGCTTGATGTGTAGTAGTCTTTCAACTAGTCTTTGACTTTCTCTCAGAAAGAACTGATCTGTGTGTTGCTATTTCTTTGGTGTATCTGTGGAAGGAAGGAAAGGCTGGAGCCTCTGATTCCACCATCTTGCAGATGTCAGTCTGGCACATCCTTGATTACTGTGTAGTTGAGCATTTTTTCATTTGTTTATTGATCATTTTTCTCTTCTGTAAAATTTAATAATTTATTGGGTTACACTTTATTATTTTTTATTTTTTTTTATTTTTGGATGGAGTTTCACTCTTATTGCCCAGGCTGGAGTGCAATGGCACTATTTCAGCTCACTGCAACCTCTGCCTCCTGGGTTCAAGTGATTCTCCTGCCTCAGCCTACCTAAGTAGCTGGGATTACAGGTGTGCACCACCACACCCAGCTAATTTTGTATTTCCAGTAGAGATGGGGTTTCTCCATGTTGCAGGCTGGTCTTGAACTCCTGACCTCAGGTGATCCGCCCACCTCAGCCTCCCAAAGTGCTGGGATTACAGGCGTGAACCACTGTGCCCGGCCTGGTTACTACTGTATTCTTATCCATGTATATGTGCTCCTTTTATATCTAACCTTACATATTATTTCCTCCATCAATTATCTTCCTTTTCTCTGGAATGCCTCCTGCTTAAACCCCAGTTATCCTTGATATATCCTCTCATTATCTTTCAACCATAATTTTCATGCTTTTCGCTTTTGTTCTCTACTTTGCAGATATTTATTTTTATATCAGTTTCTCTTCCCGTAGAGCCCTTCTTTTTTTTTTTTTTTTACTATTTTTGGATTTTGAGGTTTAGTTATTAGATTTTTATTTATTTTTAAAGAGTCTTATATTTGCAAATAGTCTTTTTCTTTCTCAACGTGTGACTTTCTCATGGGACCTAATTCTCATTTTGCTGACCATAGTTTCTCAAATCTCATTAGGAATACACATTGATTTTTTAAAAACTGCATTTTTCCATTGACATAGCACATATTCCAGTTCAGTTAAGTCTCTTCCAGTTTTTAAAAGTGCTGATTTCACTTCTGCTAGTTTTACCCTGACTGCTAACATCTACTTGCTCATGCAGACCAGCTGCGGAGGATCACTTTGGTAGGGTAGGCTTGACAGGTGGCAAAGAATGAATGTGGGTAGAATCTGCTGTTTGTCTTAAAATTTTCTGTAGAGTGTCTCTACTTAAAAGAAGTTTCATGGATATCTTTAATAAATACATAGGGAAGAAATAATGATATTTGCCTAACCTGTCCGTAAAATCTTCATCCGTGGTAATTACTTTAAACTCAAGTTAATTAATAATAAACTGCACATCACAAAACTTTGAGCTCATTATTCTCTTTGCAGCTTTCTTTAATTCCCATAAATTAAAAATTCCTGCAAATATTGTTATTTATGAGGTTGCTACAAAACTAATTGCAGTTTTTGCCATTGAAAATAATGGTCAAAACTGCAATTAGTTTTGCACCAACCTAAATACAAGTATCTGAGTAAAAATCAGGATCCCGGGGCTCAGCATAGGAAAAAGCAAGGCACACAGAGCCCTTTACAGAATGCCACCTTTCCAGGCTTCTTTTCTGAACAAAGCTGTTCCTTAATCAACTTACATACGGGCACACTCACATAGGGCTGACACCCAGGGATAATGAAAGTATGTGAAACTAGTACTTACATACAAAACCAGAAGCAGTGGTAATTTAAATAACCTCTTCGTAAAGCAATTTTAATATGTATGTAAGACATAAAATACTTATTCTCATTGTTTTAGTTATTCTGCTCAGAAATTATCCTAGGAAATAAAAAAAAATTGAGAAACCTAAAAAACTCTAAAATATTCAAAATAGAGCACTATATCAGCAAAGTATGATACATCTACTCAGAGATATTACATATTCCTTAGGTATCATAAATATAACACAGTGAAAAACCAGATACGTATCTGTCCTAAAAATTATGATACCAAGGTTCACATATTCGATATAAAATTAACTGTGAGAAGTATGTTCAAAAACAATAAAGTTTCTAATGTTCAAATTGTTGGTGATTTTTAGACATTTATACCTTTAAAAATACCATCAAGTTATTGAATGACTCTTAAAATTTAAATATACATTTGTAAGAACAAAATTAATGTGCCTAAAAATAAATATATATGTATTTACAAATATATCCCTTAATTATAGGCAAAGACATTCTGTTGTAGACTTAAGTTGCACCCAGAAACTCACAGATTTAACATAAGAAAGCGCTTCCTGGGCAGTGAGATGATAAGACTCCTTGTTTGTATAGTGGTGAGTAAAAAATAAATAAAAAATTTTTTAAAAGATGATATGACATTAAAGCATGTTACCCAGAGAGATTTTGGAGCCTATCTGGGATTCATAAAAAAAGGTAGAAACTGCTTTTATTTTCCTCTCATTCTTTGGTATTATAATATTTGCAGTGCTGGGTTGGGGACAAGGGGAGGGAGAGCATTAGGATAAATACCTAATGCATGCGGGGATTAGAACATAGACGACAGGTTGATGGGTGCAGCAAACCACCATGGCACGTGCATATCTATGTAACAAACTTGCACGTTCTGTACATGTACCCCAGAACTTAAAGTAAAATAAAATAAAAATAAATAAAAATTACAGTCATTAAAAAAAATAATTTGCCATCCTGCTTGGAGACAACTGAATAAATATAATGGGTTCTCAAGGTCAGTCCTGAGTCAGCAATTCTATTAGTTATGCATTCTTTGTTCTTCTCACGGCAGCTTTTTAGTACAGGCCCCGGAGCCCTGCTGACGTTTTATGGCCACCAGCTGTACGCAGTGGGAAGAGGTCCTTAGATAGGAGCTTGCTGGAGGCTGTCTCAGAACCCACTGCAGCACACCCGACTGCCTTGTATTCAGCTCTGCACACCCACCTTCTGCCCAGTGTCTTTCCCTCCCCTGCACCCCAGTAGCTTTCCCTGGGATTTGATCCTTCTGACTCATCTATTGCCCAGAGCGTCCCTGTCATCAGGAAGCCTGTCTTCTCCTCAATGCCTGAGGTCTGCGGGGCAAGGGACAGGTGGGCAGGCTCAGTCAATTCTACCCCATTGCACCTCACATGACATAAATAATGGTCACTTCTAGTCTTTGCTTCCTGTCCCTACATGTGGTGGTCACTGCAACCCTGCAAGGTTGACCTGCTCTCACCTGGCTTATTCTTACCTCTCTGGGTCATGGAAAATGACCTTCTGCACCCAGGGAATCTCCCTTAGTTGATAAGACCAAAATGGAAGCAAATAATGAGACCAAAATGGAAAGTTAGTCTGCCTTCATAAAGAGAGATTAAATTCATTAACACAAACCCTGCCTCTTTCTTGAAAGATCAAAAAAAAAAAAAAAAAAAAAAAAGATCTCTGGAGCAAGAGGAGTAACATTAGCATTGTCCATGAGGATAAACAAGTGGGGAGAACCCCCAGCTAGCATTTTTATCATCCCGAAAGGAGACACTAGTAAGCAGCCACTGGATTTGCCAGCTGTACACATTTCACATATATGAAATTTTACAATATGTGGTATTTTGTGCCTAGCTCATTTTACTTAATCTGAGATTTTCAAGGTTCCTCCATATTGGAGAATGCGGCAGTACTTCTTTTCCTTTTGTGACCGAATAATATTGCATTGTATGGATGTGCCACACTTTGCTTATGCATTCATCAACTGATGCACATTTGCATTGCTTCCACCATTGACAGTTGTGACTAATTCTACTATGAACACTACACTCATGTACAAGTTGTTGTTTGGACACCTATTTTCACTGCTTGTATGTATACACCTAGGAGTCGAATTGCTACGCCATATTTGGAACTCATGTTGTTTAACTTCCCGAGGAAATGCCAGACTTTTCCATAGCAGCTGCACCACTGTACATTCCTACCAGCAACATATGAAGGTCACAATTTCTCCACATCCTCACCAACACTTGCTGTTTTCAGAAATTTTGTTTTGTTTTGTTTCGTTTTGAGACGGAGTCTCGCTCTGTCGCACAGGCTAGAGTGCAGTAGCGCCATCTCAGCTCACTGCAACTTCCGCCTCCGGGGTTCAAGCGATTCTCCTGCCTCAGTCTCCCGAGTAACTGGGACTACAGGTGCCCACCACCACGTCCGGCTAATTGCCTCGCTAATTTTTGTATTTTTAGTGGAGACGGGGTTTCACCATATTGGCTATGCTGGTCTGGAACTCCTGACCTTGTGATCCACCCTCCTTGGCCTGGGATTACAGGTGTGAGCCACTGCTTCTGAAGTTTTATATTTTTTTATGACCTTCCTAGTAGATGTGAAGTGATATCTCATTGTGGTTTTGATTTGCATTTTTCTAATGACTAATGGCATTGAGCATCTTTCGTGTGCTTGCTGGCCATTTGAATTTCTTCTTTGGAAAAATCTATTTAAGTCCTTTGTCCATTTTTAAATGTGTTGTTTGTCTTTTTGTTGTTGAATTGTATCAAGATTTTTTAAAATACAAAAACATTTTTTCTACTTTCAAATGTTTGCAAACCCAAATGTATTTTTCCTCTCTTCTCCTTACACTCTTCTTTTCCATTCCTGAGTATGATGCACAGCAGAATAATTATGTTGTATGTAGAGACAAATTGAACTCTATTTCCTTTCAACTCTGCAATTAGATAAACCTATGAGCCTATGACCAGATGTTAACAAAATTAGCCAATAAGGTTGATTTTCTATTTTGATTTCCTTGAAATGATATGCCTTATTCTTCAGAATTATCCATGAAATAGTTCCTTGGGGATTGCTTTCTGGATCTGTGATTTGGAAATGGATTCAAGTCTGGAGGAGAAGGTATGTGATAAAATTTGATACTATTAATTTATTTCTCCCCCAAATGAGTTTATTTTCCAACATAGTCTATTGTTTCCAAACTATACCAAAATTTTCTAAACTATAATTTCACAATGATTTAATTAGTGACTGTACTGCTAGAAAAAAATATGCCATCCAGCTTTACCTTGGATCCTTTCCAAATAAGGTGTAGTATAAATAGAAAGAATGAATATAAAGCATAAAATATGCATTTTATTGTTTTATCTATAAGTCATCTTAGTGACTTTTAAAAAATGACTCAAATTTTTGAATATACACACTCAGTGTTTTTATCAAACAATTATTCATGTATCGTACAGCCACTTTGTCCGTGCACAGGATACATTCAGAATTATCATTATTCCTTGGGATCCTTGAAGTTAGGGTATCATTTTGGTGTGTAAGCCAATTTCCCTAAGGGGCAAATGAAACTGCTTTTCTTTTCTTTTTTTTTTTTTTTTAAATGAGAGATTTCAGAGATGTCTTCAGAACAAATGCTCCACAGAGAAAGAATTTCACATTTTAATCAATTTTTTAATGTACTGAGTTGGACCCTCACAAATATTCATAACTATTTTACAATTACTTAGTACATGGCTAACATTTAAGGTAACTTTTTTTTTTTTTTTTTTGGCAGAGGGTCAAAAGCAGCTTGGAGTGCCCAATTTCCCCTAAAGTCCTAACTTCAAAGGTGCTTTTGCAAGGTACAGAAAGGTCTGTGAATCACACAATCCCCGCCAGGGCATGCTGTCCTGCTTAATCTCTCCAGAGATGGAAAGTTCAAAATGAACACCGAGCCTCTGCCTCTTCGGCATGCTTGCACTGTTCACCCATGCAGAAAGTCCAAGGCCACTGCTTGATGTCTCTTTTTCGAAATCCATGTCTAGGTAAGACTCATGGTGAGATATGGTTGTTGTAGACAGGTTAACGAAGGCAGAAGACAGCTTGCAGAAATATGAGGAAGATGCTCTGAAGAATAACAAAGCTCTGCAAGATATTAATATAGGCAAGGCCAGAATAATATCTAGAGTCTGTTATTGCCTACATAAAAATGGAGTATGGATTCATCTCTGTTTCCATATATGTGGGACACCTCTGGAAGGATTAATAAGAAGCTAATTGCAATTGTTATGAAGCCCAGGGAGATAGAAGACATCCTTTTCACTTTCCCCTTATGCTTAAAAGAATTTTAAGGAAAATAAATCTAAGTGGCCCTGGGACTAAAATCAAATAGGGGCAAAATGTGCAGCTTTATCAACTGTATGTTTTCATACCACACATTATATAAACCTACACAAAAAATCGTGTCCTTGCAGACTCTGTTTTCACAACCCCCGGCATCCAGGCCAGGATGACACAGCCCTGCAGCCCCCGGGGGCTCTCTGCATTCCTCACTAGACTGTCACCTCCAACAGGGGATAACTTCATCAAATGAGAGAAGACCCTGTCGTCTTCCCCCAGAGTAGACAACGTCCTGGCTTTTCACAAATCGATGAATTTTGCCAAATTTTTGGAATAATGTGGTGCATTGTCTCTGGTGTTTTTTTTTCCTTTCAGCATAGCGTTTGTGAGGTTCATTCACGTTGTTGTACGCATCTTCTTGTTTTTCTATTCTTGTTGTGGTGTGGAAATACATTATGTGTTTTATTGCTGTCATAACACACTATTTGGTTGCATTCTCTTGGCTGCAAGGAACTGTGCTACAGTGAACGTTCATGCACATGTCTGCTGATGTACATGGGCCTATGTTTCTGTTGGTAGATGGGAGTCACGTTGCTGGGAAATAAGCTATTTATCAGCTCAACTGTGGTGGACACCGCAGCTTTCTGAAGGCAGAAAATATATCTTTACACAACCATGTCTCTAGCACCTAGCACAGCGCTTGGCACTCAGTAACCACACCTCAACATTGGTTCACTTTCCTCTTCAACATCCGTATATGGAATTCTTGGTTGATCCCTGCTTCTCTGAATATCAGGAAGCCAGTCTATTTTTAGGCAGAAAGGGAAGAGTAGTCAGTGACCTTCTGCCCACAGCCTTACTCAGTAGAGCAGATAAATACGCTCATGCTGATCAGTATTCCCAAAAACCTATAAATGTCCCATTTGGTGACTTCTCTGCTCCACTTCATTCCGTCATTCATCATATTTGCTCTCCTTCACGGGAGGGCAGGGAGGTTCAACGGACCTTAAAACATGAAGGTCTTTTTTCTATTTGCTGTTCTCTTCTGTTTGGTCCAAACAAACTCAGGTAAATGTCTCCTGGTTAGCCCTGGGGAAGGTCGTGCAGGAATTCCATTTATGTGTGTGTCTGTGTGGACAGTGTGGAGGTGTGTCTGTATGTGGTTAGTGGGTGCAGGTGGGCCACAGTGGGGCTCAGCCTTGGACAATTTTGATCTCCCCTGTGAAGTTTTTTTAAAAGCTAAATAAGTGTTACAAGGATCTTGACACAAGACAAATGGGTATGTTTGCTGTGATACAAGTGAGAAGCACTCACTGCAGTGTGAGAAAAGTTTTCAGAAGGAAGTTACAGTCATACAAATGTCAGAGCTGGAAGGGAATCAGAGATCATCCATAGCAGCCGCATACTCTACAAAAAGAAAACCAAAGTCCAGAGAAAGTGTTAATTTACCACTGTGCAATGAATAATTATGGGCATAGTAGGTCTTCAAACTTTTAATAGTCCCCCTGCTTGCTCATATAACTCATTTTACAGATGGTCAAGCTGAAGTGTAACCAGTTAAATGAGTTGTCTAGGGAGACGTAATGAGATATTGGAAGCCGTAAGACCAGAATCCAGGTCTCCACGCTTCCAGGCTGGGGGCTCTTCTGTCTTGACTAAAGATGGACCCCCCACCTTCTTCACTTTGCTGTCTCCTCCAAGCTGTGACAGGGCTGCAATGATACAGAATCAGAGATTAGACCCCGTTTGGAGGTTGAATGTTGTGCAAGAGTGTTTTCATAATCACGCAAGACCAACACTGTGTTGTTGTTGTTACTGCTGCTGCTGCTGTTTAAAGTCATTGCATGTGGCATTTGCAGATCTGACATAAGTAAGATCTTTCTTCCAACCATCTCTTGCACAATGTCCTGCTGTTATAGAAAACGTTCAGGTGGTCATTCATGACTTACAAGCCCACTGGTCCTGGTGAGGAGATAGGTTTTATTTCCTCCTTTTCATTGTAGGACATAAAACTAAAAATTGGGCCATAAGCTGAGAATGGGTTAATACTTCCAATTTCCTTAGAGACCAAGACTTGTCCCATTCTGGACCACTTCTGTTTTCCAAAACTCCCTTTGCTTCCTTCTAGTGCACATCTCTCACCAGGAGGCTCGAGGACCGTGATTTAAGAGCTGCATGGGCTTTTTAGGGCCTAGATGGGCCAGGTGAGCATGCATACAACGCACCCTATCATCCTCCTGGCAACGTATCAGATATAAATTATCGTTCCTGTTTTAAAGCTAAGAAGCCAAAGTTCAGTTACACTGGGACTTGTCCAAAAGTACTTAGCATTGTCAGAATACAGTAACCCTTGGCTGTGGGCTGGGGTCATCTCCTATTCTCTGCACTATATGAGTTAAATGTCAACTCTCTTCTGTTGTATCCATAGGGGATGTTCCACCGGGAATTAGAAATACCATCTGCCTTATGCAGCAAGGGACCTGTAGACTTTTCTTCTGCCATTCTGGTGAGAAAAAGCGTGACATTTGCTCTGATCCCTGGAACAGGTGTTGCGTATCAAATACAGATGAAGAAGGAAAAGAGAAACCAAAGACCGATGGCAGATCTGGAATCTAAAATATAAGCTCCTGGAAGGCAGGGATCTTGAAGTATCCCAAGGGCTTAAAGGAATGTGTGGCTTGTAGTAGGCGTTCAATAAATATTTGTTGAATGAACTTAGCACCAAAGGTGAAGAGCTGATAAAATAATTTTTTTGACTTCCTTACTTCTCCATGTACTGCCTTTTCAAAGGGGTCTCAGAATTTCGTGATAGTCCACTTTCCTTTCCTAGTCAAGGGAATATCTCTTAATTACCTGGAGATAGGAATAGACTAGAAACCAAGCTCCAAACTGATTTTCAGAGGGACATAAGTGCAACCAATCTGCTGCTCTGTTTTCCATCTGATGACGTCTTTCTTACCACACCCAGCACTAGACTTCTGCTTATTCACCCAGATGGTAATGCACCTTATCCCTTTTCCCTTTATGCCTCCTCAAGCAGTATCACCAATAGGTCACATTTTGTTGGGATAGTATTGTTTTCAAGTATTTACTCTTAGGCTATTTCAATTGATTAATACAACAAGCTGATAGTGTGTATAATGAGGTGCAAGCAGGTCCATTTTACGAATGAAAGAAAAATGAAAATCATCAGGTGAAGCACATTTCCCCCAGGCTAGCAATTCATAAATGGCAGTCTCAGTATGCCTATCAGCCAGTATTCATTCTTCTATGTTCCTTCTAAAAAACATATTTTTGTGCAATTGGAGCAAGGCAGGGCCCCTGCTCACGGAGATTCCTGAATGCTTAGCTGCCTTTTGCTTTTCTCTGGATCCTGCTTGAATTTGTTGAATACTAATTCCAAGAGTAGTGAATACTAATTACAGGTAAGGAATGTAAAACATAATAAAAACAAACGTGCTGAGAGGTAGAGACCACATGCCAAGCTTTCTCCCGACTGACAGGGAGCTTGGGAAGATGCTCTGTGTCCCTGTTTGTGTCGCTGCCTGAGTCTGGTGTGCTTCTGAATGAGCCGAGCTGCTCCAGAGAGCCCCCTAGAATGTACACTTTGGGGCCCAGTCTCAATTCCCAGCTCAGGTTGCAATGAATATTTGGCATCATGCCTTTGGCCTCTCGCAGCCTCTTCTAAACTCACTCTTGCTTTCCACTTTTCTAAATACAATCAGACAGACCCCTGGAAGTGCACAGAGTAAGTCTCTCTTAGGCACAGGCACCTCTGCAGGGCCCTCTGTCATGCCTCTAGAGGGAAGAGCCATTGTTCCATCCCTGAAGGGAATGACTTCCTGAAGGACGTTGGCCCCTATTAGCCTTGACTCAGAGTGAAACGCAGCAAACGTCCATGCTTCAGAACAGGCAGACACATTCTCAGGCAGGAGTGCCACCAACCCACACCAGCAGATCTGTGTACCAGAAACACAAAATAACATGAAGGGGCACTGGGGGGCTGGAGCCTGGTTCCATGAGGATGGGACTTCTGGGCAGGTGCTGTTAGACAGCATCCCCTTCTCTTGGCCTCATCTTCCTCAGAAATGAAATGAAGGATCTGGGCTCAATCTCAGACCCCATCAGAGCACAGCAGCCTGTGTGTGTGGAAGCAGAGCCTCACCCAAGGACCTATGGGGTCTCCACCAGGTGAGGTGGGGAGGATGGGAACCCCGTTCCTCCCTGCCAGGGTGGTGCAGGTGAGAACCCCCAGGGAGCCCTCCGCAAAGTCCAGGGCCGGCCAGCAGGGCACTCGCATGGGCCCTGGGCTGTATTATTGAATATTTTTAAGGTGGACCCTGGGCCTGGGCTGATCTAAATTGTGGAAAATGTTATCTCCTTCTTAAGTAAAACTTCTCCAAAGGAAGTGTGTGTCCACCTGTCAGGAATGGCAAAAAACTGGTACCTATGGCGTTGCCCAGCACAAAACAGGCTGCCTGGGAGTGTTTGCTGAGGCTTCCGGGAAGTAAACATGAAGGGAAGGCAAGGAGGGAAGGGAAGGGAAGGGAAAGGGAAGGGAGGGTAGGGGAGGGGGGAGGGGGGAGGGGGAAGGGGAGGGAAGGCGGGGGCGGCTCCTGGAGTCCTCAGTGGCGAGTTCCAGAGCTGCTCTGTTCCCTTTTTAATTTTTGTTTACTTTTTGACTATTTTTTCTTTTTCTTTTTTTCAATGTAAAGTGTCTCTGTGAGGCCGGAGAATGAATCTGACTGGATCAGCCCAGAGACGAAGGGAGCCCCCAAAACTGGGGCTCACATTCTTGTTCCGCTCCTCTGGGATATTGGGCAGATCTCCATAGCATCCTGTCCCCGTCTGTACAGGATTGAACTCAATCCTAAAAAGTGCTGGCGTGGCTCTAAGGCAGAGTCCCCAAAACGCTCTTTTTCAAACCCTGAAAGGCCTGGGCCAGGCAGGCATCCCGGTAATACCAATACCTACCACGCGGGGGCGCGCTGCCCCTCCAGTGCCTGCAGATGGGATACTTCTGGACCACCTGTTCTGAAGGTGGGCACTGGGCTAAGGACAGGAGCAGCTCGGGTCACCGCAGGGGACAGCCAGGGGGCCCAGGTTACCAACGCTTCTGGCCTGAATGTCGTGGCACTGATTGCAGTGCCTCATTTGTCTCTGCCCTGCCCCGGGTACCATTCACGCCAGGTGTGTGGAAATGAATTAAGTTCAGACTGAATCCGCAGGGATATTTATTGAGGTATTGTCGTGCATCTGCTCTTATTTGGGAACAGGGACAGGCCAGCAGCACAGACAACCCTGTGGATAAGGAGAGTAGAGCCTTCCTCTTCCTGCCTCCTGTCTTCTGGAGTCGTGATCGCAGGGTGGCCCAGGCGGATCGACCTCAGAGGCCAGAAGGCAGCTCCCTGAAGAGCCGGAGCATCGCCCACAGTCGGTGGCTCTGACTAAGCCTGGGCTGCCTCTCGGCTGTGCTCCCTGGATTGGCTTCCCCCGCATCCATGTGAGAGACCGGAGTATGATCCTCAGTGGGAGGACAAACAAAAGTAGTGATTGTGTTCACCCCATCCTGCCCTCAGTCCAGATCTGTTTTCAACTTGAGGATTCACCTGCCTTGTCTTTGCTAAAACACCTTCAGCCTGTGGTCAGGGGAAACTGGGAACAGGTGCTGGGAGACCTAGGACATTGCAAGTTGCTTCTCTGGCTGGCACTCAGAGGTACGTGAACCCTCTGCCAACCCCAGGAAGGGAAAGGAGGGTGCCTGGTGGTGGGCTGAAGCTCCAGCCAGCAGACAGGGGCAGAAGGACCAGGCCTGGTCCAGTGGGGGCCCAGGATGTTTTTCTTGGCAAGTCCTCATACTTTCCACATAGCTGTTTCTTCTGAGATAAGTATGATCATCTGCACTGTATCTCTAAGGAATCGGCTTCCTGAGATAACACAGTAACCCAGAATGACAAAGCTGTTCCCTCTTCATACTCAAATAGGCTTGAATTTCAACCCCACTCTGAAGCCTTGCTGGCCCTGTCCCCACATTCCTGCCTGGCATTATCAATTGCTCTACGTCTGTGCCCCTCAGACACTTTGGTGCACCCTATCATAGGGTCTTGTCACTCTGTTGCCAGAATTTACTTACGTATTTATAGTCCTCCCACTAGACCTTGAGCTCCTCAAGGACAGGGCCTGGTACTCATAAACCATCCTATTTACAGCTTTCGTAACCAGTGAAGAACAATAAATATGAAATAAAGGAAGGAATGAGTGAATTAATCTAAGCCCCAAACAAGGGTCTTCTTCAGTGCGCCACTACTGTCCCAAGCGCTGGGGCAGGTTTCACCAGGGGATGTCGGGAAATCCCACTGTGACTGAAGCCCGCATCCCTGTCTTATCTCTCACAACCCCCCTGGTTTCACCGCCTTCTTCCTTTTCTCATTCCAGCCATTCCCCCTCCCATTGGGGTACTCGTCTCTAAAAATCCGGTCAGAAGGTGGGGCAAAGCCTTTATTAACTCTCCTTTATTACTTTATTACAGGGTCTCACAACAGAACTTATAACCCCTTCATTTTCAGGGGCTTAACACTTACGCCATGGGTGGCGGCAGAACTAACAGGCAGGCTGGACATGTGGGGTCTGGAGAAGTGAAGAGCCCCCTGGCCCCTGAGCCTCCACTCTGAGCCTCTGCCTCTGACAGCATGACGTGTGCACCCTCTGTCCCTCCCTCATGGAATCATAGACAGAAAAGAGACCCAGGATGTCATTAAACAAAGCCATCTCCCGATGGGCCTCATGGCATCCTGGAAAAAGCCCCGAACTAGGAATGAAAATGCCTGCATCCTTGTCCTGTGTCTGCCGTCCTTGACCTCACTGAGCTTTGGCCCTTCCTCGGTAATTTGAACACACATGTGCTCTTTGATTTTGAAAACAAAGGATACAAAAAATTCCTTGTGAACCATACAGTATTGGGACTGTACAGGTGATTCATTTTATTAACTAATAATTGGATCTTCTTGATTCAAATAAGATACAGCAAATGTGATTTGAGATTGCTGTCAAGCTGAAAAGAGTGCACATTGCATTTTAACATCACACAGGTGGAGTCATTTAGTGACTAAACTACACACATGCAGATACACGTATCATGTACACATAGTGTCTCACTATGCAATTATAGCCAGAACGGATTTTTTTTTTTTTTTGAGACTGAGTCTCTGTCACCCAGGCTGGAGTGCAATGGTGTGATCTCAGCTCACCGCAACCTCCACCTCCCAGGTTCAAGCAATACTCCTGCCTCAGCTTCCCAAGTAGCTGGAATTACAGGTGTGCACCACTTCCCCTGGCTAATTTTTATGTTTTTAGTAGAGACAGGGTTTTGCCATGTTGGCCAGCTGGTCTTGAACTCCTGACTTCAGGTGATCCACCCTCCTTGGCCTCCCAAAGTGCTGGAATTACAGGCGTCACCCACCGCGCCCAGACCAGAATGGAGTTTTAAACCACCCATGCGTGAGCCAATCTCCCACATAAGCTCAATGTCTAAACATTTTAGAGTTGGTCTGGGCTCTTCAGATCAAGGCAGTCAGGCCTGTCCTGCCACCTCTTGGAACCCTTGAATACGAATAATC